CCTGTCGCTATCAAAATTAGCGAAAAATATGTCGTACATTTACGATTCAAGTCGTATTTTTACGACTTCAGTCGTAACAAAATTGTCTTTTAAAAAAACGACATAATTGTTCTACAAAATGTCGTAAATTGACGATCATTTTTAACAGTGTAGCTCCAACGGTCTCGGATCTAGGCCAAAAACAAAAAAAGCGTCCCATTGTACCCCACCTTCCCTTACTCTGAAGCTCGATAAGAATATGAAAACTTATTTGGTGATAAGACAAGGTATTTCCCTCTTTCACTTCCTGGATTTAATATCACGCAGAATTATTGGCTGAGCGATAGCGAAGCCCTTGCCGTGTTTGGGCGCGCTGAAAAGTGACTGGTCGTGCGTCTGTCTGTCTGTTTGTACTCACCAACGATTCTCAGCAACTACATTGGCTTTAGGTCCCAAATTTTGTATTTCGTGTCCCCTTAGTTCCCCCCAACACGAGTTTGTTTCAAATCGTTGTTTAGTATCGTTTGAAATATTCAAAACATATTTTTGAATCAGGTTATTAGCATGGTTAGGTTGGCAGCACACACACCAATTTCTCATACCTGCGGCCGCGGCTCTGAAATACGGGACAGAAGCAAATAAGCAAATAAAACAAAATAACGAGCAGAAGGGTTTTGGAAATGAGATGGGCCATAGTTTTTCAACATTCTAGAATGATTAAACCCTTTTGGAGTATCAACACAGCGAAATATGGAGAATGGAAGTGAAAATGATTTACGTTTTTCTTTCCCCCTCGCCCCCCTCCCCCGTTAGAGGGGAATCTTCTTCAGGTCAGTGCACTTTGACAGAGCATTGTAGAAAGAATGTTTTTTTTTTGACCTTTTGTATTGTGGGCATCTACATATTTCATTTTCCATAGTGTCATCCTCTTTTAAATTTTCATAGTAGATGAAATCAGGGAAATGCATAAATAACTTGTGTTGAAATTAGCAGGCATACTTACAGGCATACTCCGGCGTGTTAGGTGTGTACTCATCTGAGTACACTCTAGTTAGAGTGTACTCATCCGAGTACACGCTAGTTAGAGTGTACTCATCCGAGTACACGCTAGTTAGAGTGTACTCATCCGAGTACACGCTAGTTAGAGTGTACTCATGAGCACACTTTAACTAGAGTGTACTGAGTACACTGTTGAGTTTGCAGAGCACGAACTGCTCGTAAATTTCAAAAACGATATGATCGTCCATCTTTTTTTCGTCAATTTACGAAAACATTCTTAAACTTACAAACTTAATCCTCAAATTTTGGTCGTTTCAGGCATTTTTTTCTTTCTATATAGTAAGGAAACAACGGACGACAACACATTTTTTCAGACTTCCTTTTACAATCATACTTGTAAATTAACGATTTCACCTGTAAATTTAAGATTGTAAAATGATGAACAGTTTGTCAATTTACAATTTACTTTGTAAAAAAACAGTGCAGGTCGTGGTTCAGATTTAACAGGCAACTATTCATAAAAAGTAAGCTTGATTTGTATCAAAACAAGTTTACGCGTGATAAAACGAGAATAGTCGTAAGATAACGATTTTATCAGTAAAACTACGATCTTTCGTCAGTAACATTAAGATTTCATCGTAAAATTACGAATTTATTCCTAAATTTTTGAGTAAAGTTTGTCGAAAATATGACAATTGTTCATTTCATGAATCTTGTGGTTATTTTACGAATTATAATTTGTAAAATTACAACACTAATTGTTGGGATTATTGTTGTAAAATAACGACTTCTCTTAACAGTGTTCGCAACACGGGGAAATTGTCCGTAGACTGTTAGTGTGTATCTGCGTTGCAGGTCTTCCAAGTTTGGACTGAGCCTTTGCGGCCGAGGCCTGGCCCCGAAGGACTGCCTGCGGAAGTTGATTTTGGTGAGCTATCGTTGCAGTCTGCTGCTCTTCATGAAATGCTGTGCCATCCGTTCTGTGAAATGGTGCAAATTCTTTTCACGATCTTTTCATATTATGCATAAAATTGGTTCCAAGCGTTCTAAGACTCAACGAATTTGAGTATTCGTTTGGTGAAAAGCACCTTAAACATGCACAAAGCAACCATTATCACTCATTCTAGGAACGTGACATCACGTTGAAATGAATGCGACAAAATGTCCCGTTCCTTTGAGCATTGTGTCACACTCGTTTGGACGTGAATCGGCTTTCTCGCATTCATTTCAACGTGATGTCACGTTCCTGCACTGTCAATCCAAGTGTGAGACAGTCTCACACTATTTTGTGTGGACCACGATGTCTCACTGGTAAAACAAAGGCATAAAAATTACGCCCATTGGGGCATAAATACTCTTTTACGCCCTTGCAAGGGCATAAATCGTTTATGCCCTGGGAAAGGGCGTAAATGGTATAGGAATTTCAAGCAAAATTTTAATGCCCTTCCCAAACGCATTAACGATTTATGCCCTTTAAGGCCCTTTAAGCTTTACGCCCTTAAAGGGCATAATTTTGATGCCTTTGTTTCACCAGTGCTCACGCTTACAAGTGTGAGCCACGTATATCCCACGCTTGCAAGTGTGAGACTTGGTATGTCTCACACTTACTAGCGTGGGTCCTGTGGCATTAAACCACAGGGAACCATAGGCAGTAAGTGTGAGACAAATGATGTCTCATACTTGCAAGAGTGGGACAACGTGGCTCACACTTGTAAGTGTGAGACATCGTAGTTCACACTAAATAGTGTGAGACTGCCTCACACTTGGATTGGCAGTGTGGGACGAAAGTGTTTCCTCCACAGAACAATGATATCACTCCAAGACATTCTTAGTGCGCGCGGAATCCAACGTTCATTGCCTACACACGTTGCACACACGTTCCAGGCGACGCCGCCCCTCAAGGAGCTGGTGCAGGACCTGTCCTGGAACGGTGTCTCCCTGGACGGCGGCGCTATGGCTCGCGTGCTGGCAGACGACGGCTTCTGCTACACGTTCAACATGATGGACCCCGCCGACATCTTCACGGAGGCAGCGTGGGTGCATGGCAATTGAGTCTTACGCATCATGTCCCTCTCGCACTCATGGGACAGTGGCCGCTCCGGAAGGTGTATGTGTGTTGTTTGTCAAAGCTAGGGCCTACATACCGCCCTGGCCTTGACTGAAGAGTTTATAAGGTTGACCCTAATACAGAGTCAAATGGTTGTGCACATGTCAAATCCAGTCTGACTCGCGGACATTCTTCCCAATAAATAGCACAGGCGCATTAGCGTGTACATTCCATGCACACTCTTTTAAACAGCATGCTTGTCGAGACGACGAATTCGTCAACCTTCGGGTTGACTCTTTAAAGAGTCAACGATGTATACTCTTCAGTTTCCACAGACAAAATGAGTGACTTTCCGTTCAGTCCTAGCGGCGCCCCTGCCCGTATGGGTGCGAGAGAGACAGAGCGACGAAGCTTTGTACACTGCTAATCCTAGTGTGGACCAGGTCCACACTGGTCCACGCTAGGAAACGTGGACCACAAATGGTCCACGCCAGGAAACGTGGACCAAGCTGTGGTCCACGCTTTACAGCGTTGAACTGAACTCCTCATAGGTCAATCACACTTCAAAGTGTGGACCACGATACCTAGCGTGGACTTGGTCCACACTTGGATTAGCAGTGTGCGCAAAGTGACCGACGCCTCTTCGTGACCAGGGAGCAGCACGTCAAAGCGTCTAGCAGGGTGCCGGCAGTGCACTGGAGTTTGGAGGGCGGCTACACGGCGCAGTCCTCGTGGACCACCTTCCCGCGCAGGGCCATGGGCAGCACCATCCGCAGCGGGCTGTACATGACGCTGCGGGGCAAGGGGCTCGTCAAGGTACGCGACGTCGAAGAGACACGGAGAATTAATTCTTACACCGATTTCGACAGTGCATAGTACCAAGAAATTTGTGCAGTCACCAAAATAAAAACTAAATTTGTTTTGTAATACGACTTTGTCCTTACTTATAGGGTACAAGGAAAACGCTTAATATTACGATAGAAAAATGGCTCCACAATACATGTGTTTGCCAAAAATAAAAATTCAGTTTGACGGTTCGCTTCCTGTAGCGCTTTGAAACAAAGTGCAAGTTCACTCTTCTAGGCCTTAAGGAAAACGGGACAGGGGAAGAACTGAACAACCCTTATTTTACTTCAAATGCCTAACGCAAAGGCCTGACAACTACTATGTAATGAAACGCTGATGCCACGGACTTTTGATGGTTTTAATGCCTGTGCATACGGTATTTGAAGTAAAATACGAAGTCTTCAGTTCTTCCCCAGACTCACCCTACGCCCGTGGGATACCATAAACTGTTAGGAAGTTCCGAGTGCAACAAAGACAATGCACACGGTAAAAACGGAACCTGGTTTTCCCAGGAAGCCAATGGTGAAGGCAAAGGCGATTTCCAGGAAGTTCCTGGGAAAACCAGGAACCGTTTTTACCGTGCAGGCCAAACTCGGGTTCTGCGATTCCTCCCGAATCCTGTCCATTCTTCCCCACATTGAACCCATTGACTTGCACTGCAGGTGGTGCTGCACACTCCGCTGGACCTGCCCATCGTGACCCTGTCCAGCGACTACGTGTTCCGCACCAAGGAGACCAAGCCGCACGTCAACAGCCCGCAGCTGGCCACCTTCTTCCCCTTCCCGGGCGAGGAGGCCGTGGTGACGGTGACGCCCACCATGACGGCGGCCTCCTACACCTTGCTGGGCATCGCGCCCGAGACGCGCAACTGCTACTTCCCCACCGAGCGCCGCCTCGCCTTCTTCACGGTGTACACGCAGAGGAACTGCGAGCTGGAGTGCCTGGCCAACATGACCGCCCGCGTCTGCGGCTGCGCAGCCATCTACATGCCGCGTAATGCCAATTTGTTGCGAAAAATACGACGTTATCACTAACTCATTTATTTCGCACATCTTTAACTTCTTGAAACAATTTTATTTTATTTTGAACAGGATCGAAGCATCAGTCTGTGTGCCAGTCTCGCGCCTGCTACGAAACTGTTACGAAAGGTAACCCTATATTTTAGCTTATTATAGTCATCATTATGACAATTTATATGAAACGACACAGCAAGCAAAAGTGTGAATAATAGTACAACTAAAGTATAACGAAAACTGTGAAAAACAAAGCACAGCGAGGATTGCACAAAGTACAACGAGGTCTGGACTGGACTGCACTCCACCTTGCCGGTTAGTTCCATTGTACTTTGTACAAAAATTGTTGTACTTTGAAAGCACAATTTATACCTGATAAAAAAAAGCTGCCGCGTTAGTTGTGTTTTTTTTTCTGGCATAGTAGGGTATTTTTTGTCTGGACCGGAAGCCAGAAGTCGCCACTTTGGCCGGAAACATAATCAAGGTTGCTTATTTGGTGGCGTAACGGCCCAACATCGTTAAAACTTGTACAAATTACGTGCAATGTTAGTGCCAATACATGTTTACGCAGTAATACAAGGCTTTCAACAAGCAATTAAACCTCTCCTTCCGGCCAAGATATCGTCCTCCTCTACAACCGCCTTCAAAATTAAATTGGCTTTAAATTTAGCGCACATGTTAACTCACTGGATTTGATCGTCTGCAGGAGACGACCACGCGGACTGCGGCTGCCTGCCCGAGTGCAGCTCCATCGGCTACGACTCCCGAGTCTCTCACTACAGTTGGCAGCGCGAGCACGACCGGGTGGACGCGCAGACGGACGGGCTGGACCAATGGTAAGTCGCTTTAGTTGGAAACTCCATCTGTGTTGCACTCCTTGTGATTGCATCGGTAGAAGTAAAGCGAAACTTTATGTTTGAAGTTACGCTTAAAGATGTTTACAGGCTGAAAATTTGACGAAGCATTTTGAGCATATGTAAAGGTGTAAACTTTTTGGTTTGACATACAAAGTTTGTAAATTACGAAACATACGCATGCTCCAAATACTTCGTTCTGAAAAGATCCTTTTGTTTGTAAAGCTCAAAAAAGTTTTAAAGTTTTCAGAGTGCACGTTTGAAATGAAGCACAGGCATGAAATCCTCCCACGCATTTTAACTGGTGGAATCTGAACGGAGAGCCTGTTACGTTTCATGTCAAGCGAAAACTGAATACGCTTAAAATCAGATGGTTGTAATGTTGTAGTTTCACCAGTGTTGACACTCTGTGTTCTGCAGGACGGGGCTGTCTAGGATTTCAATCCAGATCAAGGACACCACATTCACAGCCGTCGAGCGCAGCCACTTGTACAGTCGCCCAGAGTTCTTGGGTGAGTCAGCCCGGAATAAATAGTAATTCACTTGTCAATTCTGAGTAATAAAACAATAAATGTTTGCTCTTTTTAGCTGACGTTGGAGGACTACTCGGCATCTTCAGCGGTTTCAGCATCATTTCCATCGTGGAAGTTGTTTTTCACATGCTCATTCAGTGGTTCTGTTATGTTTTCAAATAAAAGCGAAAAGTTCACACTACATGTTTATGTACAATTTTGTACGTGGTGATGCACAATTTTAAACTTGCGCGCCGTCGTGCATAAAATTGTGCGTGAATTTGCATAAATTTATGCATCTTTACGCATGATATAATGCAAATTCCAGGTATGCACAAAATCGTGCAAGTTTCACGTACAAAATTCTACCTAAACATTTAGTGTGTTGTTTTTCTCGATCATGTGTGAGACTTCGCAATTTTACATGGTGCCGAAATGGGAATAAAGTCATCTTCTTTAAAAGCGTTCGCTATTCCATTTCCATATCCCCTTGAATTCCACGTATCATTTCTTTCTCTTTGCAAATTCATAAAACAAGGAACGTTAATGTTTCAAATCCAAAACTGGATAGTGCTAAATATATTATTGAGACAAAATCAGCATCACGCATTTCAGATACTGCTAACTACACCGGTTTGAATAGCTGAAATAGATGACCTACTTATCACAGTAAAAAAAACGCCATAGCCACCAACATTCGCTACAAAAAACATAATAAAGATGAGGTTCTACATACACTAGACAGACACGTTAGGTCGAGATCACGTTCAAATCACACATGGGACTTAATTTAAACATACAGAGTGGCTGAAATCAGAACGCCGATCCCCAGGCTCGCTACGTAAAAATTTTGATTGGTACTTGACAATTTTAAAACTAAAGAGTCACGCAGTACACAGTTAAAGAGCGAAGTCAACAAGGCCTCGTCTAGACCGCACTGGTACGCAAGGGTACGCCCTTAAGAGTATTGGCGACGCCAAGATTACTCGCGCGAACCTGGTGGCGGGACCGCGAACTAGCCTATGTGAGACAGCGTGGAGCGGGCGTAGGCCGATTAGCCGTAACTGCAAGCCATGGAGCATTCTTACGTCAAAAATACTCCTCCCCCTGATAAAAAGCGGCGAATTACCGCGTACTGTTGTGTTCCCCAGTGTTCAAACTACATTTGTGAAGCGATTTGGGGTCATACGTTTCCAAAGATAGGGGCTGAAAGGAAGAAATGGGAAGTCGCTCTGAAGATGGGGAAGCCGGCGTCAGCTTCAATGCGTGTTTGTTCAGCACATTTTGTACCTACCGACTATTTTCCTGGAGGTACGTCACATAAATTAATATTGAATCGTATTTCAAAAAATTTTAATTGTAAGAAATCCTTATTTTCTTAAATAATTCGAACGAAAGTGACAGTCTAACCTGCTAAGTGTGCTTGTTGTCATGGTTCTAGTGTCAATTTATCAATCTTGTTATTGTGTTTTCAGCTAAGAAGCGCCATAAATTGTTTCCACACGCTGTGCCCTCCCAAAATCTACCAAAGAGAGTTTGTGACAAGTCAGAATCATCGCCCCAGAAACGACAGAAAGAGGCACGCAGGAACAGACTACACAGTCGGCGGCACAACAAGTCTGTAGTTTCAAATACTTTGTCAATTTTTGGAGTTATCAAGGAAGTATTTGAAATTCTAGTTAATTTTTTTATTTATTGTCTCCAGGAACAACATTGAAACTGTGTCTGAGAATGAATCCGATGTAGAAGAGGGAGGCAACACGCAAGATGATTTTGTCTGTGAAAATATTTCCTGGGATGCATCTACTCAAGCAAATCTAGCATTTTCATCATCTGCCAGTTTGAAGAAGCTTTCAGAGACTCGCAGCCTTGCAGATTTGATTTGTGACTTGTCAATCACCAATGATAAAGCCTGTCAGGCTTGTTTAGGAACCGAGTCTGATGCCTCGACAGAAGAAAAGAAATCAGTGACGTTGCCAGCATTATTGGACTCTGATGCTAAACTGTTCACATTTGCAGGCATTCACTCAGTGGAACTCCTTGAAGGTTTAATAGATTGTGTCTCTGATTTAGATACTGGTTCATCTGCAAATAAGAAGATTCTGCCAGTGAAGGACAGAGTTTTGCTGACTATGGTAAAAATTAAACTAAATATGAGTTTCACAGCTATCGGAGTATTATTCAACATCGGCAGACAAACCTGCTCCAATTATTTTAAGAATATGGCACCAATGTTAGCCAGAGTGTTGAAAGTGATGATACCATTCCCAGGGCCAGAGGATATAAGACTAAATTTACCTCGATCTTTCAAGAAGTATAGAAATACTAGAATTATTCTAGATTGTGCTGAAACGCACATTGAAAAATCAAAGTGCCTGAAATGCAGAGTGCTCACCTGGTCTCAATACAAGAAGAACCATACAGCAAAATATGACCTAGGAATTACTCCTTCTGGTTTACTGACAGAGGTCAGTGAACCATATGGTGGGCGTGCCTCTGATAAATTAATTGTGAATCAAAGTAGAGTGCTTGATAAACTAGACTATGGAGACGCAGTGATGGTTGACAAAGGATTCCAGATTGAAAAAGAATGCTTGCTAGTAAGTACAAATTTAAAAAAACAACAACTATTATTTGTTAAAATAATTTTTTAAATTTTTGTTGTATTGTTCTGTTGCAGAGGAATGTCTCCCTAATTAGACCTCCTTTTCTGAGAAAAAAGAAGCAGTTGAGCCAGCAGGAGGCTTTGGAGACAGCTGACATAGCGAGGGCAAGAGTTCATGTGGAACGTGTTATTCAGAGGCTTCGTGAATATAATTTAATTAAAGGTCCAATTCCTTGGTCAGTCCTTCCATTCTTTCATTCTGTTTTGTTAATTGTTGCTGGCTTGACCAATCTGGGCCCCCCTGTTATCAGTACTGGTAGGTTCATGTAAAATTAAAATCATTGCAAGCAATCAGGTACATACAGTATATTGCACAATTGAAGTTACAACTGATTGCTTATTGTTTTGAACAATAAGAAACAGTGAGATTCTTAAACATTGTCACATCAACAAAGTAAAAATTGGGTAAAAATAAATATAATTAGAAAACTATTTTGTGTTAATCCATAATATCATCTGCTTCATCAGCACTGGCACCATCAGCTTCACCAGAATTATGAGCCATCATCATTGGCAAGAAAATGTCAAAGTAGACATGTACAAGTCTGGAGAAAAGATCTAGTACATAAGTTTCATTGAATTGTACTCTCTTTTGAACATAGTCTAAACCAGTGTAGGAATAAAGCAAGTAGTCACATTCAGGCACTCCACATACCAGCATGCCCAGTTGCATTTGTGCATAATGTTCGTGAGCTTCTTTCACATTGCCATTTTTATCTAGAGTCTTTATAACATTGTAAGCTTCAAACTCACTTGCTTTCAAACGACCCCCCTCTTTCAAAGTTTTTATTTCAATATTTCTCAGAAAGTAACCCTTCTCATCCATCACAGTGCCATCAGGACTGGCTCCAAGCCAAGGGATATCAGGATGTATTATAATACCAGTTTCAAAAACTTGACAATTACTATTTAAACCTTCATAACATTCTCTAGCAGCACCTTCATACTTAAGTCCATTGATAGTGTCAGCGTTACCTTTGAATGGTTTCTGGTACAGGCTCTCATATCTCTTGTTCCAATCTGCATTTGCATTCACATAATAAGTGTACTGACTTCTAGCTGAGGAAGCAGTGAGTCGATTTTTTCGTGATGCATACCATAACTGTGTATATTGAGGTGTTTGAGCTATGTGAACACTTTCTTGAAGAGTTAATTCCACATTTTGTTCATAGAAATCAAGCAACATAGGAGATAGTTTTTCTTTTTTCCTAGCTGTCATTTCCTTGATTTGACCTATGATTCTCCATGTTCGGAAGGTCAGCAGCTTAAAAATCTTGTCATTAGTGTAATTTTGTTGAACACTGTCTGGGTTGTCAGGGTCATCGGTATCTATTGGATCTGTCAATCCTGCTCCTCGAAGGTGACTGAAGAAAATTGAATATTCACTGGAGGGGGCACCTAAATAATCAAAACATTTAAAATTAACCAACAGTTTATTCAGAAATATTTAAATCAGAAAAATAATTGCTACAGTGATTGGAAAAAACTATTACTGTCATAAAAATTGATAAGATAATTAATTATAGTTGATCACTTGAGAGAAATTCATGCACAGAAATTTTAACATGTTAACAGAATTTAAAAACACCCACAAATAAAGTAACAAAAAAGAATGTGTCCAATAAAGACAGAATTAAATTGACATTAAAAATAAAAAGAACTTCTGACTCCCCAAGTTTACGAGACTCGACTGGTTTTCCTAATCAAATCTACCGCTTACAACGACTCAGGCGATCAGCCCATCTCTTCTCCATTTCAGGTGTCACTGTTGGCATTTGCGACACATAAACATCATTGGGAATTTTGACATGACACAACTCTTGAAGGGATTTGGCCTCATATTCCCTTAAAGTTGTGGCTTTCAGAGCTCCCCACTGTTGTTCGACATCGGTGCAGCTGAGGTCATCCAGTTCTGCTTCATCAGTTCTGAAAAATAGAAAACACGATTAAGTTATTGAGCAATGACTATTCCTACATTACTCAAGTCATCATAGATATTTAATTTGCAAACACAGCACAACACATACAAAGGGAACTAACCTTGACAAGTACAGCATCACAGCTACAACATGTTTACATTTCTCGGACTGACCAGCTTTGCACTCACACTCTTGCGATCGGTCTTTAACTAACCGAGAGCCGTATTCTTTATCAAGATCAATCCATAATTCAACTAAATAAGGGTGTTTTTGCAGTCCTGATGTTCGAAGCACGAGCGCTTGGGTGTGGATAACGCTGTTTTGTTTGTCTTTTACACCCACAGAAACCACAAATCCACAGTTCAGCACCTCCTCACCCTCTCTCATGGGTCTAACAAAGCCTGTAGTTGCGTTAACGGCATCAATAATTGATAATATGTTCGGCATTTTGCTAATATAAGTCGCGAACAACAGCGGCCCATAGGGAACGCAGGGGAACGGCTCCGGTCTGTCTCACTTAGGCTAGTTCGCGCACCCGCCACCAGGGGCGCTGGGGAGAATCTTGGCGTCGCCAATTTAATGCTTTTGGATCACCAGTGCGTGTGGAGCAAATGAAAAGGAAAGCTGGCCGCCGTGTCCCCAGGGATAGCCCACTCGTTTCCCGTGCACGAAGAAAAGTTGGCTGTTCAGACAGAAGAACGTATCAGCCCCCGAAAAAAGAAACATTAAATTTCATATAGTTCGTTGGAGCGGGAAAGGCCCGCCGGGCCCAATCCCCGCGCACAATCTTGATGCTTGGCGCCGTCGAGCCGGCCCAGCCGAGCGATTCAGAAGAGTCGCTACGTCGCTCTGTCTCTGTCGCACTCACGGGGCTCTCCGTAAGGGTGCGAGAGAGACAGAGCGACGAACCGATCTTCTGAATGGCTCCGGCTGCCGGCGGCGGCCGGGAGGGGTGGCTGAATCCGATGTAAGTCTGCTCGCTCTGCTGCCACATCGAGCATATAAAGCCGTCTGGGGGCGCGCTGGGCGGCGCTGGGCGGCGCCGCGGCGGGGTGGCGGCAGCGAGCCTCCCCGCCGTGTGTCTGGAGCAATGTGTGTCGAGCCCCCCCAGCGCGGCACATCTGATCGCGGCTCGCTGGACCAGTCGCGGGGGTGGCGGGCTGGGTCGCAGCCCTTTGTCGATGTGTGGCGGCGCGGAGCACGGCGCGGCGTCGCGGCGCGCTAGTCGCGCGGGGGCGTCGCGGCCGTCTAGGGGCAAGGCCGGCAAGGCCCGCGGCAGAGCGCAGAGCCCGTCTGGAAGTGAACCGCGGACGACGGCCGCCCGCGCGGCACGCTCGCCGTGGACGCCGCCGTGGACGCTCGCCGAGACCGCGCCGCCCCACTTACCCGCGAAGGATGTGAACTGTCATTGCCGGCCCGCGGACGCTGCCACGCCGCGGCCCGCTCGAGGTCAGTACAGCGGAGAGCACACTGAAAATACAAGTGTCATGTGCTACACACTACACTGAGAAAACCTTACAAACTATTTTGGGCCTTACAAAGAAAAGTAGTTTGTACAACAAAGTATTTTGAGCATACGTAAGCTTACAAAGAAAATACTTCGTAATTTACGAACTATTTCTTCGTAAAACAAAGTATTTTAGTTTGTTATATGTATGCTCAAAATACTTCGTAAGGTTTTAAGAGTGTAAAAGTTTGTGTACAATTTTGTACGTGGTGATGCATAATTTGAAACCCGTGCACCGTCGTGCATAAAATTGTGCGTGAATTTGCATAAATTTATGCATTTTCACGTACAAAATTGTACCTAAACATTTAGTGTGTATGCCAAATGCCTGTTGCCTTTTTGTCCACAACTATTGCCATATCTGTGCGCATATGTAAGTAATTAATGTGAACAATTTTACATAAATAATACGTAGAGTTTCACAGATACTAAAGCACATGTAAATAGTGACCCTAATTAGATTACTGAAATGTACATAGCTTCCGTACGTACAAATATGGCAATAGTTAGGGAAGATAAAAGTAAATAAATATTTCGTGGGTGTGTCCTGAGTGTGCACTGCGAGAAAAAGTTTCAAAATAGTACAGCAAAAGAACAGCGAAATCTGAAAAAAAAGAAGAACGACGAGACTTGTAGGAAGCACAACGAGAATTGAACAAAGTACGTACGACGAGGCCTGTACTGGACTGCACTTGTCATGCCGGTTCCATTGAAACTTTGTACATCCATTGCTGTACTTTGAAAGTACAATCTTTTCCTGATAAAAAATTTGCTATGAATTCCTGGACGTTTGTTGTTGAGGCTTTTTTTCTAGCAGTGTGCACACTTGGGTGTTCAGTGCACTGCTGGGTGGACTTCCGTGCCCTTGCGCTCTTCTAATGTCTCACTGCACTTCCCTCTTTGCATACCGTCCCGACCACCGGCCGGCTGACCAGCCCTAAGAGATTGGCCGAGGCTTTACGGCCCTCCTAGCGGCAGTTGCAGGCAATCAGGACCGAGCCCGTCGCTGCACGGTGGGCCAGAAGACCGGTACCGGCGGCCAAAACTCTACACGCGTTTAGAGCTCCAGAGTCGCTAACAAGGTCTCGAACCAATAACGTGTGAGCCCACCGATGGATTCCTCGTTCGGAGAGCAATCCATTGGTGGGGTCACGCGCTCGGTTCGAGTCCCATTTCAGCGACTTTGCAGCTCAAAACCGTGGGGGCAACCACTCTAGAAATCTTGTGTCCTTGAGAGCTAGAAATCTCTGGAAATCCGAAATCTTGCTCCTAAAAAGGCCATAAACAAGCAAATTTTGAGCGTAATATCGGTTATAATCTTGCGAAATCCGACGAAATCTTTAGCCTTAAGAAATCTTGTGTCCCCAAACATTCAATGTGGTTGCCCCCTCGCTCAAAACGAATCCGGGATTTTGACCGCTTCCATACCGGTCTTCTGGCCCAGTGTGCGCTCACGGACAGCGCAGGGTGCCTAGGCGGGGCCGCCGCGCCTTTGCCCTTCACCGCGTGGCTGCGCGTGGCTGCGCCTGGCCCGGCCCGGGCGCGAGGTGCGTGCGCCCGGCGGCCCCCCAGGACGCCGTCGTCGTGGCCACCGGGACCGCGGGGAGCGCCAGGACCGCGGGGACCATGGCGCCGCGTCGGCACGCCGCTCTGACGGCGCGGCTGGGCGACGGGCTGCCTACCCTCACGGCGCCAGTCTGGTTAGGACCGGCTGCGCGGCCAGCCACCCAGCCCTGCGCGCCGCCACGCCGCCGCCGTGAGTACCCGGGGCACCCGCAGCAGCAAGCGTCTCCCGAGCACCTCAACAAGTGCCTCGCCCTCTCGTTTTTGCAGGACGTGCGTCAATCATGGGCATCCTCAGGAGAAACAAGTCAGCCGTGGGATGGTGAGTTGCTGCAGTCTACACACTGCAAAATCACGAGTCCGCGCGCTATTTTTGCTTGTCGCCGTTAAATTTAAAAACAAACAACAGCACGGATAGCGCTAGGTCGCGACGCGGGGTCTCGGCCGCGTTGCTCTGGCGGTCGTTTTCGCGGCGTCCCCAGGGACAAAGCCTGTCGGCGCCCGTGGCGCGGCGGGCCCTCCGCCTGAAGCGCGTGAGCCAGCCAATTTGCGGGCTGCACTTACGCAGAACCGCCCATCCCATGACGCGGCGGCGCGGCGCGCCCCGGAGGGGTCGCGGGGAAGGACCACGGGGCGGGGTGGGGCGGGGGCCGATCCCCACGGAGAGGGAGGGTGCGTCTGTGTCATCGCGCGCACGCAACCCGATGGCGCGTTAATTTGGTGCCGAATTTAACGCATTATCATAATTAAATCCTCGCCCGCCTTACGCTTGTGTTCCGGATCGGGTGGGCCGTCAAAAGACCGATGACTGAGCTTGGGAAAGTCCGATTGCAGCGTTAGTCCTGAGCAGAATTGGATCCAGAGTGGGCCCATAAGAGGGAGAGCCACTATTTGGCCTCATTTGGAGGGTAAAAAGTGTTGACTTTTGCCTATACACAGTCAAAACGGTTCCTGGTTTTTCCAGGAACTCCCTGGAAATGGCTTATGTCTTTACCATAGGCTTCCTGGGAAAACCAGGTACCGTTTTTACCGTGTAATTTTCGGGCGGCTTTATAGGGGTCAGGGGGGGGGGTGTGTCCTTTCAAGCCTCCTCTGGCTTCACGCTTCGTCTTGAGTTCAGCCCAGGGTTCAGCCCCGACTCTTGCACCTCAAGCGGCTTTAGGAAGAGAGAAGAGTTCATGGAGGACTGGATAGTCTTAAAATGACGTCAAAAATTGTCCAAATTTTGACGGAAATCGCTCGCTGTGATGTCATGTTGACATACTTTTGACATTTCTGTTCTCCCTGGGAGGGCTGGTGCTCGAGTCGGGTCTCGAAGTGAGGGCTGAAGTCGGAGCTGAAGTCTGGACTAGACTCGGAATCGCCTGAACTGCCTACACCATACTTACACTGTCGTCTCCTCGATGCGCAGCGCGGGCGAGAACACCCCGCCCACCATGCTGGACTCGTCGTCCAAGCCCGAGGGCGGCGCCGGCCGCCGCAACCCGCGCATCTCCAAGAAGGACCGGTCCGTCTCCGGCGAGTCCAGCGTGTACCAGACGGCGCTCACCTTCAAGGCCAGCTGGAAGGAGTACTGCAACTCCACGGCCATCCACGGCGTGCGCTACTTCGTCGAGGAGGGCAGGACGCGCTTCGAGAGGTGCGAGTCAAACAGCGGATCGTCCCCTGTTTTTACTCTTCACGGTGAAAACGGTTCCTAGTTTTCCCACGGACTCCCTGGATATAGCCTATGTCTCTACCATAGGCTTCCTGGGAAAACCAGGTACCGTTTTTACCGTGTTTGTGATAGCAGATACTCGCAAATTTTGGCAGAATGCCAGAGACTTGTCTGGAACCCTGATCAAAGTTCGCGCACCTTCGAAAGCTTCAGAAAACTTATCTTGATTTTGATGGCCTGAGTTCCCACAGGTCAGAACAAGTTTTCAGCTTTCAGAGGTGCGTGAATTTTGATCAAGTTTTCAGACAGGTTTCTGGCATTCTGACAAAATTTACACAATTGTATAAGATCAAATCTATGAGTATGAATTTGCACGAAATATCTCGATTGCTAAAAGATTCTTTCACCCTAATTTGAGTGAGAATCATTTCATCGCCCATATTTGGCTACACTCTAAATGTCTTATGGTGAAAGGCTGCACCAAAATATTATGGTGTAGATTTTCTCCATATTACAAAAGAAATTCGACAAAATATCTGTTAGGTACAATGAATATTTTGAACTGTAAGTTACGAAGTCAGCAGCACCAACGTAATATGGAGAATCTTCACCATAAGACTTTTAGAGTGTGGGAGACCAAGCAAGAAATTGATGAAAAACGGTGTATCCCACGCAAGCCAAGAAAAGGAAGTCAGTCCGAGTGTGTATTCCTTCCACTGACCCTCTTTTGCCCCGCCCAGAGTGTTCTGGGTGCTGTCGCTGGCCGTGTCCCTGCTGGGCTGCTTCTACCTCATCCTCAAGGTGTACAACAAGTGGGACTCGTCCCCCGTCATCGTGTCCTTCGCCGAGACGTCCACGCCCGTCTGGGACGTGCCCTTCCCCGCCGTGTCCGTGTGCCCCGAGACCAAGTCGCGCCAGAGGGAGTTCAACTACACCGACGTGTTCCACCGCCACGGCGACTTCCTCCGGGCGCAGGCTGGCAACGACTCGACCGTCAGCGACATCGACGACGAGGAGTACGTTGGCGGCCAGGGGCGCTCCCGCAACTCTACAAACTGCGATGTGTGCCCAGCACACTGAGAATGGAAGAGCCATGAACTTGCTGTTCATGTATTTGTACAAATTTCGTACGAGACATCACAGTTTTTGGTGCACACGAAATTATCGTACAATTTTCGTACGAAAAACTGCACATTTTTCGCCATTTTTGTACAAAATTGTACAAAAAACTGCAATTTCTCGTAAATTGTACACAACATTTAGCGTGAGGACCAGAGAATTGGGTGAGGCATTCTTCACCACCTAAATTTGGGCGAGAACCATTTTAGTGGCTAAATTTAGGGGCTAAATCTAGGCGAGAGCCATTTGGCTAAATTTGGCTGAGAACCATTTTACTCGCCAAATTTTGGGCGATGGCTTCCTTGCCCAAATTTGGCTGATAAAGCAGTCAAGCTGTGAAGGAAGCAGATGCACCCTCTATCGCCCAAATTTGGCTAAGGATTTCGGTGATAAAGTTTACCTCGCCCACACAGTACTGATCTAGACTCTTCCATAGAGTACCTGGGCGCGCAAACATTACTTTTAAAAGTGACGTTATTTCTGTATACCTAGTAAACGGAGGGATAAAAAAAAGTTACGAATAAAGATGACCCTATCTTACATTGAATTTTAGATGGGTTCGTCCCTAAAAATAACTTAACCCCAAGCCAAGATAGAAATAACGTTAGCTGCAAAAGTGTTTTGTTTGCATTCCCTGCATTCCATAATGAGAACAAATTACGGTTTGTGGAGTAGCGCGGGGCACCATGATGCTTCTCTGTTGCAGACGCTACAAGTTCGAGGCTGTTTCCCTCATCTGCGACCAGCACGTGTTCACCGAGGGAAACGTAACCGTCACGGAGGGCAGCATGGATGCCCTGAAGAAGGTGAGGAGCACTGCACTCGGGGAGGAGTTTCTACATCACGCCTCCTCAAGGGGAAATAACTCCAGCCAAAATTCATCGAACCTTTGAAATACACTGAAATTCATCGTAATTCATTGAAATTCTTCTCAAAATTCAGTTGCTTTTGCCAGAAATTCATCGAAATACGACTGAAATTCATTGGATTTGTACACCGATTTCCCCTTGCGCTGCTCGAGTGAGCACACTGTCCGCGTCTCTCACTCGCAAGCGTGAGTCATTTCGGTTCTCGCCAAACAGTGTGACTGTCCCACTATTTGTTTCCTCGCGCAACGTGGTCTACGCTCCTCTGCGTCGTTACAGCTGGCGCCACCCATGGAGGAGGTCATCATGGTCTGCAAGTGGCAGGGCGGCATCCTGGAGAATTGCTCGTCGTCGAACCTGTTCACGCCCGTCATGTCGGACGAGGGGCTGTGCTACACGTTCAACATGCTCAGCAACCCGGAACTCTTCACACCCTCGGCGTAAGTGTTGAAACCTTCCAACACTCTTAAAACCTTACGAAGTGTTTTGAGCATGCATATAACAAACTAAAATACTTCGTTATACGAAGAAATAGTTCGTAAATTACGAAGTATAATCTTTGTTAGCTTATGTATGCTCAAAATACTTTGTTATACAAACTACTTTTCTTTGTAAGGCCCAAAATAGTTTGTAAGGTTTTCTCAGCGAAGTGTGAACAATCATTTTGTGAATGTGAAAGATCGTTCTTGCCACACACAGTAAAAACTCTACGAAGAATTGCTTCGTAATACGAAGAAAATGAAGGCATTGTAAAATCTACGAAGAAATGCTTCGTGTTATGAAGCAAAATTCTTCGTAATACGAAGCAATTCTACAACGCCTTCATTTTCTTCGTAGTAATGAAGCAAATGCTTCATTGGCTTTTAAGAGAGTGCACACAGGGCCAACACCGCGGTTCATTTTTTGTTGTCCTTGACTTTGTTTCCCCGATATCCGAAGTAAAAATGTATTTTTAAAAATTGTGATCTGTCCAGACTTTTTAACATTTACATGCACTCCCAGGAAAACGCATGCAGTTATTTTCTGACTTGAGTTCGGTCTCTAAAGACAGTCCCACCTAAATTACGCACCCTTAAAACCTTACGAAGTATTTTGAGCATACATACATACAAACTAATTTACTTTGTTATACGAAGAAATAGTTCGTAAATTACGAAGTATTTTCTTTGTAAGCTTGCGTATGCTCAAAATACTTTATTCTAACAAACTGCTCCGCTTTGTGAGACCTGAAATAGTTTGTAAGGTTTTCTCAGTGCGCGGGACGGTTCGGTTAGACCAACGTCAGGAAAAGGGGGAAAGGGGAGAGAGAAGGGAAGGGGAGGGGGTCAAAAAGAGAGGGAGGCGATGATTGCAATCCTCCTTCCCGCCCTCAGCGTGCAGTACGACGAGAGCGAGGGGCGGCCCTCCGACGGCTGGACCCTCGAGAACGGCTACCCCAAGGACGCCGACCTGGAGACCTTCCCGCGGCGCGCGCTGGGCAACGGCGCTAAGTCCGGCCTCTTCATCCTGCTGCGGGCCTACACCCAGGACTGCGACTACCTCTGCCGCGGCCCCGTGCAAGGCTTCAAGGTAACGCCGCGCTGACACAGACACGGCGTGGTTTCGTGCCGAATCGGGGCACGGGAACCTAGGCCTAACGTTGTACAGTGAAGATTCTCCATATTATGGTGAAAATGTTCCATATTATGGCGGTGCAGCTGACTTCATAACATAGCATTGAGAATTCACTGTACCTTAAGGTGAATTCATGTTTTGACGAATTCTCAATGCTATGTTATAGATGTTTTGACGAATTTCGTAGGTAATATGGAGAGAATCTCCACCATGAAAATATGTTAGTGCAGCCTTTCACCGTAAGACATTCACAGTGTACCCAAATGAGCGCTATGAAATGATTCTCCATTCAAATTAGGGTAAAAAAGAATACAAGACTCGCATTTCGTCACCTCTTACGAAAACTATTCGAACTCGCCGGGGCCCCAGAAAGCTATCCTTACTACCCAGCGCTGTCACTATCTTAACTCCTTACACAAAACCTATTAAGCTAAGATAGCGTAACAGCGCCCTGGCGCGTTAAGGTGGTTTTCTTATGAGGGGGTCGATTTTAGTCCTGGTTACGAGTCTCACGGCAAAAGCACCGCCTGGGATTCCCAGGCGGTGCCTGGAAAATAGGCCCTTTTTCCCATGATGCGCCTGGGAATCCCAGGCGGTACTTTTGCCGTGCTCTGTCATTTTCCTTGCCTATCATGTTCATGTTCGTAGGTGCTGCTGCACAACCCGGCTGAGATCCCTCGCATCGGCCAGCAGTACTTCCGCGCGCCGCTCAACCAGGAGGTGGTGGTGGTCGTCAAGCCATCCATGATGACCACCTCGGACGGCCTCCGCGACTACGAGCCCTCGCGCCGGCAGTGCTACTTCCCGTCCGAGCGGCACCTCCGGTACTTCAAGGTAACCCATATTCATGCAGTGCATAGGAAAGGGTCCACGAAGAAAAGGAAAGCATTTTGAATTCTGCAAAGAATTGTGTCATTCGTAGTACGATACATTTCTTCAAAATACGCAGCACACTACATACACTCTAAATGTTCTACAGTGAAGATTCTCCATATTATGGTGAAAATGTTCCATATTATGGTGGTGCAGCTGACCTTGTAACATACCATTGAGAATTCACTGTACCTTATAGATATTTTGACGAATTTTGTTGCTATTATGGAGAAAATCCCCACCGTAATATGTTGGTGCAGCCTTTCACCGTAAGACATTTACAGTGTACCTAACTGTCTACTAAGTAACACACTCACAAACGCATGCTTGGCACGTACCCGACCCACTTACAAGCGCATGCTTGGCGCCTTACAAATCCATGCTAAGCATAGGCGTTTGTAAGTGTGTACTTGCATTTGAAAGCGTGTACTTAGTAGACAGTTAGGTTTGTAGTGCAATTCTACAAAATTCTACAACAATGAAGGCATAGCCTTCATTTTCTTCCTTGGTACGAAGCAAAAGCTTTGGAGACCCTTATGAGTGTGAGGGCTCCCGAAAGAAATGTCAGTGTAAACAATCTTGTGTTTTGAGGCTTCTTGACTTGAAATCGACACGGTTGTGACTCGTGCAATTAAATGGTCAATCTCTGGAAATCTGAAATCTTCCTGAAGATAGGCCATAAACAAGCCAATTTCGGCCGTAAAAACAGTCGAAATCTTGCGACATTTGACGAAATCCTTTCCCTTAAGAAATCCTGTCCTTATCCTGTCCTTATACCATCCGGTGGCGGCACCAATGCACCTGTTTCTCTCTGGAGCTCAGACTTGCAGACCGCGATGTAGGAACGCTGTAGGAGCGTTCCTACATCGTGTGCAGACGGCCACCGGCGCCTGCGCTGGCGTTACCCCGCGCGCCAGAGACCGCGTGTCGCGGTGGTGATACCCCCTGCTGTGGAACAGAGGGAAGCCCGTCCGGCGATACTCCGCGCCTTAAGCGGGCTGCTGGAGCTCTATTCTGTCAAACTTTTGCAGAGATTGCGTTGTAGAACACCTCTTTTCCAATTCTAATTTCAGTCCCTTCCAGCCCCTCTTGGTTTCAGTGTACCGGCCAAGTCGAGCACGGCAGTCGTACGAACCCAACTCACCACACCGTAGCAGGGAGGACTTGTTACTGCTATTCCAGGCTGTGAAAATCTTTACAAACTATTTAAGACCTTACAAAGAAAATAGCGTGATATCACAAAGTATTTTGAGCATACATGAGCTTACAATGAAAATACTTTGTGATTTACGAACTTTTCTTCGTTTAAAAAACAAAATATTTCGTAACGTTTTTAGCGTGCAGCAACGTGACGTCACATAATCTGACAGAACTATTATAAGACGTTCGAATACTTTCCACCCCCTTTTCCCCCGCTCTTTCCACCCACATTTCCATTGTACAATCGAGGCTTTTTGGCCCACATTGAAACGAACGTGACGCGATTCAAACGCGTCACAAAGAAAATATGACCTCATAACAGTGAAATTTCATGGTGATTTTGCTCTTCTTAGGTCTACACGCAGAAAAACTGCGAACTTGAGTGCTCCACGAACTACACACTGAAAATGTGCCAGTGCGCTGCGTTCTACATGCCAAGTAAGTGCCTTCCGTTTCCGTGTGTGATTGAAAGCACCACCCACGCGCAGGGACTGAATCAACTTGTAAAACTCCGTGTTTCAGGATCAGGAGACATCCCCATCTGCGGGTCTGGCAGCTCCAACTGCCTCAAGAACGCGACCGGTGCGTTCACTTACAACTTGAAAGTTTGCATTTAGTTAAACTGACAAAACAAAGGCATATAACCTAAGCCCTTCAAGACATGACAGTCTAACACGCCCTTACCAGGGGTAATAAGGCATAACGCCTTTGAAAGGGCATTAAAATTTTGCCCAGAAGTACATTACCAATTGACACCCCTTCCAAGGGCATAAACCATGCCTAAACCCATTTACGCCGTTCCACACGGTGAAAACGGTTCCTGGTTTTCCCAGGAACCCCCTGGAAATCGCCTATGTCTTCGCCATAGGGCTCCTGGGAAAACCAGGTACCGTTTTTACCGTGCATGGACGCAGACCGTTCAAGCTCTGATAGTGCATAGTTCTTTATGGCCTTGCTTCACCAGAAAGCAGCTGCACACTTGCAAGTACACACCAACAAACGCGTGCTTGCTACACTTGCAGATGCATAACGTGATAAGAATGCACCTGAGTGTACGTGTATACTTGACCTAACACTCATCTGTAAGTGTACAGAGTACTTTGCAAATGCACACTGTAAATTTCTTACGGTGAAAGGTTGCACCTAGGTATTATGGTGAAGATTTTCTCCAACGAAACTCCTCAAAATTTCTATAAGGGACAGTGAATTCTCAATGGTATGTTACGAAGTCAGCTGCGGCACCATAATATGGAACATTTTTACCGGAGAACCTTCACTGTACAACCATTTAGAGTGCACTTCTGGATGCAAACGAAGTACACAATTCAGTTTGTTGCGTTGTTTCGTTCGGCTTTTTCTTTTCGCGCCTTTCCCGAACTGAACTCGGCTTGCAGAGAGCCTGGTGCGGCACGAGATCATGAGGGACTTGGAGCGCAAGGACGGGCGCATCGCGGCGGATGACTGCCACTGCCTGCCCGCCTGCACCTCCCTGGAGTACGACGCGCAGACCAGCCAGGCCGACTTCAAGTGGGAGAACGTCTTCGGCGTGTACCGCATGAACGTCAGCGAGGCGGACGAAGGGTCAGTCACTCTCATTCCAGGAACGACAAAATGTCACGTTCGTTTGAGCATTGTGTCACGTTCGTTTGAATGTGAACAAACTGGTTTTGGGCCAATTCACACATAAACGAATGTGACACAATGCTCAAACGAACGTGACATTGTCACGTTCGTTTCAACGTGATGTCACGTTCCTGGAATGAGAGTTGTGACGTAGCCATTTCCTTTACGACCTGACTGTCCACTAAGTAAACACTTACAAATGCATACCAACGCTGTATAAACACATTAAGTGCGTGCATTCGTACTTCATAGTAGACAGTTGGGTTTGAAGTGAAATCTCTTTACTTGGAAAATGAATAAACACTCCCTCTACTGCATTCTAGGATGGCCATGTCCCGCGTGTCCATCTACTTCAAAGACACGCAGTTCATCACCAGCCGGAGGAGCGAGCTGTACGGCCAGACCGACTTCCTCGGTACGATATATTCCAAACTTAAAATTAATCGCTTATTCACACACTTAAATATTGGTCTCCCTTTATGATACAACGCCATAGATCAGATTTCTGAGACCTGAAAACGGTGACAAATTTGTCACGAGCTTCTTGCACACTGAATTCCTCTGTAAAATTCGTGCACGTAGGTGGTATAGCACAAAATGTGGCAAGTGCATGCTTTTCCGTGCGACATTCTGGGTACATATGTGCCCAGTTCAATATATTTTTGAACTAAAAACTGCGCATGCTCAGAGTTGTGAGAAGCACAAACTTTTTCGTTTGATAAACGAATTAGTAGTTCGTGAACTACGGAGCATTGTCTTTACAAGGTAGGTTTACGCCGGACCGCGTCTTGTCGTAACAGGCATCGCGATGTCTCGCGGCCTGTTCCTCCAATCCGCGCCTGGCGTACCTACCTTGGCCTGCGGCGCTAGCCTGCCTTCGGCAGGCATTGGCTTGTCCCTCGTCGGTTACTTCTTACGTGTTGCATGCTGGGGGGCTCCGCCCCCCAGACCCCCCTTAATTCAAGAAAGAGTTGCTTCATCTACAGATAACACGATCTTGACCCTTGTAACATTTTAACTTGGCGAGGCTGGGGGGCGGAGCCCCCAGACCCCCCTTTCTTCAAGACAGAAGTGATCTGCCTGCAGAAGACTCGATTTTTCGCCATTTTTTAGGTGTTTTTCGGCTATAAAAACTGAACCACGTGAGCTAGGATTGTGAAATTTCGCGTGTGCCGAGCCAAGAACATACCAAATAAGCCTGCAAAATCTCAGCCAGATCGGCCGAGCCGTTCAGGAGGAGTAGTGTACACACACACACACAGACAGACACACAGACAGACAGAAAAAACTTTTCAACCGCACTGGAGTAACAGGCTTCGCTATCGCTCAGCCAATAAGCTTGTGTGCTCAAAATACTTCGTTAAAAATTCTTTGTCGAAACAAGCTGATTGTCTTTGAAAGGGCTAAAACGAAGTTCTAAGTTAATAACTGTGTACAACACACTTAATTATTTTGTAGGTTTTTCTGCGCGCCAGTGCTCGAAATTTAACATGCAATTTGTAACGCACGAATTTGTGCGCGACAGTGCGGACAGTGCACGATTTCGTGCGCGAATATGCAGAGAATCGTGCATTGTTGCCCACAAATTTGTGCGTTACACTCTAAATGTCATGGGCCTTTTTCTGTCCCACGATTTATGCAATTTTAAGCACATCCCACGCTTATGCAATTTTGTTCCCGTCTGGCGACACATTTTGTCCGACGCCCGCTGCAAATTGTACTTTCACTAGACAATTTGTCCCACCTGGCGGACACAAAATTGCATCACCACCGGATGTGCTTAAAATTGCATCATTCATGGGACAAAAAAAGTACCAAGACATATAGTGTGTACGAAGTGCATATTTAATTTCGTGCATTGGCGCGCAGAAAAACCTACATAGTAAATTTAGAGTGGTTGTAACGTTTTGAGAGTGACCTTTTTATTTTGGCAGCCAACTGCGGCGGTCTGCTGGGCCTGTTCAGCGGCTTCAGCCTCATCAGCCTCATCGAGATCGTGTACTACCTCACCATCCGCCTGTGGTGCAACGTGCACCGCGCGCACCGCAAGCGCACCAAGGCCATCGCCGAGCTGGCGGCGCTCGGCAACGTGGCCCTGGTCGACCCCTTCGACGTCGAGAAGCAGCAGAAGCTGGCCAGCGCGCCGGCCCTCGAGCCGGAGCACAAGATTTAGCCTAAACCGTACCAGCTCTTTCGCTAGCCCGCTTTATTGATTCTCTACGCGAAGAATTGATTCTTAGAAAGTTTAAGAAGGGATGACAGTTGAATGACGTTTGAATAACCGAAATTGAAAGGGTGAGGCATCTAACCAATGTTAGGAGATGGCGTCATTGTGTCTACCAAAAAAGCGTCTACCAATAAAATATTAATATTTTTAACCAACTAGCTGTTTTTAAAAAAGCGGCTAACGTAAAAATATTCAATAAAAATATTCAATAAAAATATTGAATAGAAATATTGAATAAAAATATTGAATAAAAATATTGAATAAAAATATTCGATCATGTCGAAGTGAAAACTATGGTCCAACCTATCCTAACCAAACCTAACCTAACCTAACGGGCTCGTGACAGATCTTTCTCTAACGTGACAGATCTTTCGCTACCTGCAACAGATCTTTCTCTAACGCGACAGATCTTATGCTACCCGCAACAGATCTTTCTCTAACGCGACAGATCTTTCGCTACCCGCAACAGATCTTTCTCTAACGCGACAGATCTTTCGCTACCCGCAACAGATCTTTCTCTAACGCGACAGATCTTATGCTACCCGCAACAGATCTTTCTCTAACGTGACAGATCTTTCGCTACCCGCAACAGATCCTTCTCTAGCGCGGCAGATCTTACATTATGCGCGCTCCGTCCACCATGAACAGCAGCATAATATTTTAATTCAATATTTTTATTCAATATTTTTATTCAATATTTTTATTCAATATTTTTATTCAATATTTTTATTCAATATTTTTATTCAATATTTTTATTCAATATTTTTATGTTTAAAGTTAGTCGCTTTTTTCAAAAAGGCATGTTTATTAGAAATATTAATATTTTAATGGTAGACGCTTTTTTGGTAGGCACAATGAGCCGCCCCCAATGTTAGGTGATCAAAAATATCGCCGAAAAAGGGCGTTACTTCAAAGAATGACCGGCAAATAGACATCAGCGAGACCGGCTCTTGTTTCTTTTAAAGAATTTTGGTAAAACAAATATACCACCCTTTGTCGGTCAAAGGTGTCTCACCTTTCGATTTTCAGTGTTGAGCTCGTGAGGTGCAGGGGCACGGCCTGGACGTACCCCCGTCGGGACGTTCCCCCCCTGTTTTATTAGTATTTCTTACAATATATTTATTGAATATTTATATTGGATGGATATTTTTTTATATTCTTCTCGAGTTAACAGAAATAATCACCCGTCGTCCTAGGAGTATTTTTTACATATGTTTGTAATAATCAAAATATTCTCTTCTCTCCTCGAGCTGCATGCGGAATTTCTAATGGTGGTGCGGGGTAGATGCGCATGCGGACCGACGGATGGCTTCCCGAAAACTCTGACACTAAAGGGTCCAACCTGTCTTAACCAAACCTAACGGGCTTGCGACAGATCTTACGCTACTCGCAACAGATCTTACGTCGTGTTAGATCTTACTCTACTCGCGACAGATTTTAATCTATTTGTGATAGATCTTATCTCGCGATTGATTTTAGTCTACTTACAACAGATCAGATGTCGTGACAGGTCTACAATGCTCGCGCCAGCTCTTCGTCTACTTGTGACAGACCTTGCGAGAAACTCCGCATGTAGCTCATTAGATAGAGAAAAATATTTTGACTATCTAAAAAATATTCTTAAATATTTCTGGGACGACGGACGATTATTTCTGTTTATTCCAGAGTGAATTAAAATAATATCCACCCAATATATTTCTTCATTAAATATATTGTAAGAAATACTATAAAACAGGGGGGAACGTCCCGACGGGGGTACGTCCCGACGTTTCCCAGGTGCAGTAGCGTGTGAATAAAACTGCAAATCCAAGTCCCGCACTTGTGCGCCTGGGACATTTTGGTACACGCTTAAATGAGAACCACGTATGTGCCACTCTTGAAATTGTGGGACACATTCTCAGCCTCGCTATTGACATTTAGTACATGGTATTGACACATTGTCAGTAGCACCTCTAGTAATTTGTGCAACAATAATAGGTGCTTTTCGCTTTTGTAATTATTGTTTACTTGTTAATTAATACTTATTGATAAAAAAAATTCCTGCATAATTTTATGCGGTAAATTGTGCGTATCTAAGAGGAAATCGCTACATATTATTGTTGTAGGCAACAGAACCTGGTTACTGACGATGAATTCGGTAAGAGGTTGAGAGTGCAGATGAGCGTGCGAGTCGGTCTATCCGTCACTTGCAAGTCTCTCCTACTTAAGAGGGCAGTAGCACTTGGTACACGCTTTTTCAATTTTTATCAATTTTTCTGTTTCCACCTCAATATAAGAAACTTGCATGAATGCTAGAGACAAACGGCGGTAACCATATAAAAGATCAAACGTTTTGCAACAATTTCAAAAAAAAATATTTTGTTTTAGCATTAGGGGAGGCACTTATATGAGGGACGTAAGAAAGGTCTGCAAAATCATACATGGTGTCACTGAGCGCACGATTTCAGCCAAAGTTTTCAACTTTTTTCAATCGGTAAAGTGCAGAAAAAAGAGCATAAAATTGCCTACAAAATGAACCACGGGAGTTATTATCGGACGAAAAATACTGCTAGATATTTAGTATCGAACAAGAAAAATTCATTCAATGGAAAATTTGTGAAAAATGACCCTTTTCATTTTGTAGGCACTTTTATGCTTTTTTATGCACTTTACCGATTGATAAAAAGTTGAAAACTTTGGCTGAAATCTTGCGCGCAGTGAACCCATGTATGATTTGATTTTGAAGACATTGTCTACGTCCCTCATATAAATGCCTCCCTTAACGCTAAAACAAAAATATTTATTTTGAAATTGTTGCAAAAAGTTTGATCTTTTACATGGTTATCGACGTTTGTCTCTAGCATTCTTGCTAGTCTGTTTTATTGAGGTGCAAACAGAAAAATCGATAAATATTGAAAAAGCGTGTACCAAGTGCTACTGCCCCCTTAAGCGTGGACCGAAAATGTCCTCACGTGCAGAGGTGTGGGACTATCCCACACGTGGATTTGCAGTGTCTTCTACATTCTAGAGGATTAAGTTGAGAAACCGAGGCCGAAGGATTCGTACATGCCGACGTGATTGTCTGAAATTGTCCTAAATTCGTGCGCAACTTCCATGATTTTAAGCTCAAAGAATACCCACGCACGACAGCGTGCAGTAAGTAATGTGACATTTGTCGTAGACATTTGACGCTTTCTCCATCATCTGTAGTTCACGCATCGCCGACAATTTTCCCACGCTGTTTATTAAAAAACAATATAAAAACACCAAACTTCGTCTGTAATTTAAGTGCGTATATTTATACTCATCGTTCTTTGCCGATATACCTCGACAATACAATAAATACTTAAGTAACGCTAGATTGACGTGATAATTTCTATCCTCGAAAAAAATACCAGCAAGAGGAGTGCGCAAATGAGGCTGGAGCACCGCCTAAATTTTCCACGAAAAAACAAAATTATTTTCTTGCACAGTTCCCAGTTTTAATCACGTAAGAAAATAAATTAGAAAACAATTAAAAGCTCTAAAAAAATAAAAACCTTGCATAAACTGCGCTTACAATGATCATGTACAAATTAGCATCAATATGACATTCAGATTACTTACAAAATAAACTCAATCTATGTTAGGGGGCCGGGGGTGGAGCTTAAGGCATAGAACTGACGTCACACCGCGAACACAGCACCTCCACTGTAGCGCCGCATCCAACAAACATGTTCCAGAGAGCGAGTTTCTGCGACTGACAATATTCATGCCCACAGAGAGATCCGTATGCGTTCACACGCTGAAGCACCAACCGCTTCAGACGCTTGAGGCCGCAGAGCTTGACCTCCAGCGCCAGGTCGGGGCACCCGTACGGCTTGTTTGTGTCCGCCACCAGCTGCAATTCCTCAAGGGTGTCGGCGTGCGCGCGCGCCAAGGCCAGGGCGGCGCGCAGCGGGTAGAAGCCACAGCGCAGCCAGCGCAGGCCTGCAGGCGGCGCGGGGCGCGAGAAGACGGGCAGGGGGTCGGCCAGGGCGTCCTCGAATTTGCAGTGCAGCTCCAGGAAGCGCAGGGACTCCATCGCCACCACCTTCGGCAGCCACTCCTTCTTGACGTCCACCAGGGCCAGGCTGTGCAGGCGAGGCATCGCCAGGGCCTGGTCCACGTGCTGCTGCTGGGGGCGCACGAGCTGCAGGCGCTCCAGGCGGGGCGCAACCCGCTGCAGCACTTGCTGGCAGAACGGAGCCGACGTGGAGCAGTCCAGGCCGGTCAGGGTCAGCACCTGTGGAGGAGGGGTGGCGTCAGTGCCTGCCCAACGGTGGGCGGAGAGGCTCACGGATATCCAACGAAATAAACCGCTAGGAAATGAATCTCATTTTCAGGGTTGTGATTGAAATACACTGTACTTTTGTAAGTGTGTGCTTAGTACAGTTATGATTGCAGTGTAGTTTTGCTTGTTTGATGCTAGAGCACGATGTTCATGTTGTGAGCAATAGTACGCTTTTTCAGGTGCAACGAAGGGACTTGGAAAAAGTTGAACACTTTGCAAAGTATGGCGCAGGGAAGGCATGTAATAATGCTGACCCGCCTTCCGTACGGAGTTCTTTATACAATTGTGTCAAAACTCCAGCTCAATTAAAAAAACATGAACCTTCTTTTAAAAATACCGTCAAGTCCCCTAAAGTGGAACGATTTTTACGGATAATCGTCTGTTATTCACAGAATAACGATGACACCGAAAATCGCCGGGGATTTAAGAATCGTCATGTCAAAACACGTCTTTTACCGAAAACAAAAAATTTTTCAGCCCATGGGGCTCCAGTAGGAGCAGCAAGAACCGTGTCCCAATTCAGGAGCCAAAGTCCCCTAAAGTGGGACACGTTCAATCTTTTTCGCCCTAAAACTGCAGTAGCAAAAAAATTCATAAAAGGTATTATTTTCTAAATTTAATTTGAGGCAAGATTGGTTCTGAAGTCTTTTTCGATATCTCGACTGGTTAAGCAGATATGAGCCTCTTCAATCAATAAGATTTCCTAGATATATTTAAATTAGAAACCACCGTAACGCCTAAACCAATTGAAATACGGCGAAAACCAATAAAACAAAATGGCCTTAAAATTTAATTTCTGACCAAAAGCATTTTATGAAATTTTTTGCTCAGGTCGTATTTTATAAGCTTCGAAATGCACGGCAAGAATTAGAGGTTGAAATTTTGAAATTTGAAAACCGTTCGCCCTGCAACTTTTTTCTAAAACATTTTTTGTTCAAAAACTATTTTTACGCAAGGTTTGTTTCGAGGGGGCCACCACCCCCGTAATCCTGAGTACAAATTGGCTGGTAATCTCTGGTTATCCATGGCGTAATCACGTAATCCTTGACAAAATTCTGTCATTTTTAAACGTTTTTCGTCTTTTTTTCAACGTTTCTGAGCTATTTTTCAATGTTTTCGAACCAATTTTCGAAAATTTCACGCGTAATCCCTGGTAAATGTACCGTAATCCCGTAATCTTGTGTACGCCTGAAATGAGAGTGGTGGCCCCCTCGGTTTGTTTTATGGTCGATAACGATATCTTTGTCGGTAAACCCAAAAGAGGAAGCATTGCTTTCAAACTTTAACTAAATTTTGTGCTGGCTTAAAGCGTACCGAACCGTACTTGCGCGACGCCTGGGCCTCCAAACCGACCTGGCAACCTAATATGGCCCAGGCGGCGTTTGTAGGACGCTGGAGGTGAATGTAACGCCTCTGAATCGGTAAAAACCCTTTAAAAAAAACGAAGAAAATTCATGTGTCCCACTTTGCAGCTCCTTAGAAGATTGCTTCCCACCGTAAAACGAAGCATCGGAAACAAATTTTCTAAAGTGCATCTTGTAGATAAAAGAACGCGCTACAACATGTCTGAAGTCTAGAATGGTCCGAGCATCAACGGCTCGAAGCCCCGAATCCGCGCTTAGACGTCTGAAAAAACTTCTCTTTTTTTCTGCATCAAATTCCAATTTTCAAGATTTTTTCGGGGAGGGGGTATGAGCGGGAACAAGACACTCTCTGCGGATATGGTCTCGGAGGGGTCCTACCGTCTAAAAAAAATTTTTTTACCTCGCAAAATATCCACGCGTTGGCCGTTTACAGCCTAAAATAGAGAAAATAATCAAAATGTCCCACTTTAGGGTTCGTGTCCACATTTAGGGGACTTGACGGTATAGATTCAAGTCTATTATGTTACGGGGTAAAAACAGTTTGTCTAAGCTCACTAGCACCGTTAGTAAACAAATCTTAACATAGGGTTCAAAACCTTAAAAAAGGAAACAAATGCTTAATACCGTCTGCAGACTTTCACTCGCCAACAAATCCGCCTTGTCCTTGGTTTGTGTGCTGCTGCTTGTGGCGAGCGCGTCAAGAGCTGATGGAGTCACCTCACAGATCAAGCCCTGCACATGACAGACAATTCTGAAAAAGCACTGCGATAGCATGAATGTTTTGAGACGGGTCAACGCACTTACCCACGGGTCTAGCACTGGCCACATGTCGTAGAAATAGCTTTCTACAAGCTGCGCAGAGCGATCAATCTTCACCTTTACCGTGGAGTACCTGTCAGAGATGACCTCCGAGATGGCACCAAGTCCGTGGGCGGTCTTTACCCGGCACCCCTTATGCCACCGATCCCTACATAGAGGATCGGCCTGGTTGCTGGTCTCCACCCAACCTGGCGCTGGACAACACGAGGAACCGAGCAAAAGACCGCTGTCAGACAAGGTGTCAGGCAATCGCTGCGTGCTAACCAGATGCAAGCCGCACCAGGCATTCAAATTGAACGCGGGAATTCTATAAGGTAACGTGACCTCACGTTGAAACGAATGTGACAAAAAAAATACGTTCCTGGGAGCGTTGAGTCACATTCGTTTGAATGTGAATAGGCTAATTTGTGGCGAATATTAAAATATTTTGTCATAAAGAGCTGCCTGCCTTCGTAAGGAAACCCCAAACATAGTTTGTAGGGTTTACAGAATGAGAAATGGCGGCCGATTTAGGCGATTTACATCAAACGAATGTGACACGACACAATCTTAAAAGGAGCGTAAAATTTTGTCACATTTATTTCAACGTGATCACTAAACGTTATGAAAATAGCGTCAATTCGAGCAATGCAAAAGCATTGCACAATGAAGCGCAATTGGCTTCCCATGCCCATGCATTTGGCATAGGGCATTTTCGAGACGCATTGCACGTAAGGTGCAATATGACTGAGGCATTGCACGTATGGTGCAACAATCTCAGTGCAATGCACCACAAGTGCCATATTCGTAGCGTTTTGAATCTGTGATGTCACGTTCCTGGAATGAGAGCGGGTGGCAAGGGGTCCCCAACCGAGCCGGCGAGCGTACACTGACTTAAAGTCAAAACTGACTTTTTTGACTTTTTTGAGTATCTTGTCTGACTTTTTGCGACTGTTTTGCCTTGGAACTATTTTCACTTTCACACGTTTTAATGACTTTTTGACTTGTAAGGGGGGACCCTGGTGAAACTTTTAAGTAGGCTTTAAAATACTCCCAGAAAGTTGAAACTTTGCTTGATTATTAGGTTCATTATGGTGAGTTCACAAAACAAAATTCAATCCAAAATGTTGAACGGTCTCTGAGAAAAGTGGCTTTTTAGTGTTTCTTAGAGCGTTGGGGAAAAATCTTACTGCGTCTTTCATTGGAATGGAAAGTTTTGAAAATTTTTTTGGGTTATCCTTAAGATGTATAGAAGAGACTTTAGTGACGGAATTTATAATTTCAACTTCTGTCCTGAGATGTCAATTTTCAAATTCTAACATTTGAAAAAAGTGAATTTTTTGCCTTTTTTTTAAAGCTTTTAGGTGTGTGTTAAAAAAAGTAGGGCTGATATCAAGATTCCGTCACTAAAATTTATCGATAAGTCATCAATGAATAGATTCCATGCAAGACGACTCATGTAGCTGTCAACCAGGAACGCAGGAAGTCTTTCTGCGACAAAATTTTTTGTCGACTGAGCAAAGCTGTGAAGTTGAGCGTATAAGCCAACGACAACTGATCTCAATGTTATTTTTTCCAAATAATGAAGGAACTACCAACATAGTTTAAAGGTGTACAACCTGTTGAATCTGAAACCTTCTATGCACATTTTTATCTATGAACTTTAAAAATACTTTTTTTGGGAATTTTGGTCATTTTTTCACCAGGGTCCCCCCTCAAATGACTTTTTGACCTTTAAATGACTTTTTTGTCTTAAAAAGTTACTTTTCCGCCAGCGTTCATTGAAATTTGGCATTTTTAAAGGCTGTTTTGTGGGCTTTTTTGGGTACTTTTTTGTGGTTTTTTTGTTACTTTTTTACTTTTGTGACTTTTTGACTTTTTTTACTTTTAGTGACTTTTTTAAAGACTTTTTCACCCGTGTACACCGATTTTTTGCCCGGGTTTGGGGGCCCCCTTTGGGGGGTGGGGTCTTTTCAGCCAACGAAGGCCGCGTATGGAGGGAGGGGCGGGGGGGGGGGGGGGGGGGGGGGGGGGGGATAAACCAGACGGCATGAACAGGCAAGATCAAAATGACAGACATATTCCGATATTTAAGATCGGATAACATTAACAAGCTTAAGGAATTCTCGAATTATGCGCAGTGTATTACGGAACCAAGCGGTCCGTGTTACGTTTACGGATTCACGCTGTCAGTTAGGAGTTGTCAGAAACTCCTCAGGCAGGACAAGTTATTAGGCGATTGCAACGGACTCAGAGTCGAACTTACCTATGAGCGAGGCGTCCTGCCCGGACGCCTGCTCGGCCTGCTCCTCTTGCTGCAGCTGCCCGCTGGCCGCCAGCACGCACAGCAGCAGACTGGACGAGTCGTCCTTCGCGGGCCGCACCTCGCAGCGCCACGCCGCGTCTCCAGCGGCACCGCGGCGCAGCGTCACGGCGCACGCGGCGGTGGGGTCGGTCACGGCGGCGGAGAGGTCCAACAAGGCCTGCGGCAGCCCTGCACACCGGGCAAAGTACTATGAGCAAAGTCAATTTTCGGGGACCACTTCTTACAGCAACCCATAAGTCGCTCCTGATTTTATTTGACTAATTGCGCTGAAAAAAAGTCTAGTCCAAAAAGTCTACTTGGTCCAAAGCCCCGGCAAAAATGAATTGGTTGTCACTCAATTAATTGGTAAGTGGACAAGGCCTGGTCTTGGCGTCCCAAAGCTCAAAACTGTTTAAAAATATCTAACAATAAATGCGTTTTGTTGAAACAAAATGACAAACAGAGCACTTAGAACCAGGACGGGCTGACTTGCCGAGCAGATTATGGAAATCCGATAAAAATTGCAGATTTTGGGATCCTCTTTGTCAAAAAATGAGTTAAAACTTGTTTTCTCATGAGCCGGTAGTAACAATAGGCCTACAGGCACCCAGCCATCCCCACGCACGGGTTTTACCTTTTGTTATGGAATCGATTAGTTATTAAAATTGAGCAATAAGAACGATATCGATTAATACACTGCCAATCACTAGTAGGTGCGGGACATTTTGCCTCACGCTTACATGTGTGAGCCATGTTTGTTCACGCTTGCAAGTGTGAGACATCAATGTCTCAAGTGTGAGACACGATTTGTCCCACACTTGCAAGCGTGGGACCCGTGACATTGAACCACAGAGCTAGCGATAGGCAGCAAGTGTGGGACAAGCTGTCTCACACTTGCAAGTGTGAGATTTCGTTGTCCCACACTTGCAAGCGTGAGACAAACTTGGCTCACACTTTGCAAAGCGTGAGACAAAATGTCTCACACTTGGATCGGCAGTGTATTTAGTGGGAATGGGAGGAGGCAACTTAACTCAGTCCCATGTCACCTTACGCAATGTGGGCCTCACCGTCCAGCGCCGCGTCCTTCTTGGCCTGCTCCCAAATGGCGGCCTCGGCCCCGACTGTTGCCTGCAGGCGGCCCTGCCTTGCAGTCAGTCTCTGCTCCTCTCTCAGCAGCGTCGCCTTGAGGCCCTTCGCCGCGGCGGACACAGACTCGCGCACACTGGCCAGCGCTGCCTTGGCCTCGTCGAGGGCCTTCACGCGCTGCAATGCCTCCTGGGTGCGGACCTTCCTCAGGCTGCGCACGGGGTGGTCCTCCACACAGGCAGCGTCTGCCTCTTTCTCACAGCTGATGCACCAGAAGCGCTGAGGCAACGGCCTGGAAAGAAGGGAATTCACTCGTTAAGGGAGTATGGGGCGATTTGTAAGAGGGGCGATTCGTAACAAATTCGTTCATTAATTTAACTGAAGGGAGCAGAGGAAAATCTGAGTATGGCCCCTCTTTCACTTCAAGTAGAGGGTCCTTCAACAATCGAAGCGGATGTGATCGGTGCTCAGGTATAGTTTTGGAGGGCGTCTGAAATGTAGGGTACCGTAGAACGGGGTAATATGAGACAAATTTCGAGGTTTTTTTGTAAATTTTCCCCTTCTAATTTCAACTTGAGGTGCTGAGGTGTTCATCACTTGTTCATGCACCCTTTGGCTACACTCCCTCCAAATTTCAGATTTTTAGGTGCAGTAGGGACCTTTCAATAACCCTCGGAATGCCGTCCCATATTTCCCTGCAATGTGGGGTAATATGAGACAAAAGGGAAAAATGGTAAAGAAGTATGGAAAATTAACTCATTCAGGCGGGTTTGGAGCTTTTTAAGTTCTTTTCATTCATTTTTAAGATGATTGGGGACCATAATGAAGAAGAGATAAAATTTAGAGGGAAGAAAAATGGGTGTCACTTAAGAGAGCTGAAAAATGTCTAAGAAGTCATGAGTTGTGCCTGTCACATGAAAATACTAATAGAAGAGCATAGATGCCGGTCAGGTAGTAAAACCAATTCGTGTTAAAATCATTAATACTTGAAATTAATAACAGTGGAGTATGTTTGGCCTCATGTTTCAAACGAAAAGAGGTGTCTCTATTTTCCATGCAAGGTAACAAAATTGTATTCCATCTGGAACAGGCGGCCCGGGAGTAGACATAACAGAACGAAATTTTGTCCTGATTATGTTGACATGATTGTCTACAGATTTAAACCTCGTTCGAACGAGAACCCGAGTTCCAACCGAGGTTTCTGGGGAGGTTTTTACGAACTTTATAAAACTTGTCAGAATTTAGAGGATTTTCGTTTGGTTCTTAATAATCCTGGCGAGTCTCCGATTGCCTTCGTGCGTTTCCTGTGAGCTGCCAAGGCCTCCTAGATCACGAAAAAAAATTCACGATGGTCTTCTGAACAACTGCTTGAGAGCAACACGACAAAAACCAAAAAAAGGGCGCTTTGTCTCGATTTTCCTTCATGTCTCATATTACCCCGTTCTACGGTACACCGAAAACAGGCAAATCTTTTATTTTGAGTTCTAGGAAGTTTCTGTCTGAGGCTCCCCAGGTATGAAACACCATCGAAGTACCGTTGGGGCCTTGAAGCGTGACCCCTTTACAATGTAACCACGTGGCATAAGTTGCTTTTACTTTGTCCAGTGACAGTTAGGGACGTATTTCTTGCGTAGCAGGCATTTGGGGTGATTCGTAACAGACCCGTATAAAAACAAGAATTTAAGTAGCTTTTGCAATTAAATGCTTGAACTATTTCTCGAATCATCTGCTGCCTCATTCCAATACATTTACACAGCTCAAAATGCATTTTAAAGCGAGTTATTCTATTCTTTCCTCCAAAATTGAAAAAGAGTGAGGTTAGGGTTGACATAGCCGGTCAGTTCATGCTGAGGCGGTCGACGGCAGCTTGTAATGTAGATTTTAAGGCGTCTGCAGGACATCCGAAGAACAACTGCTGGAGGAGATAACATTCCCGACGATGTTTCATTTAATGCGTAGGATGTTATGAAAAGCCCCATGGCTGTTACAAATCACCCCATGCTGGGGCGATTCGTAACAGCATGCAAGGGTTTGCAAAGCGTCTTAGATTTCAAAGATTACGGACTCCAGATTGATCCAATGGAGCTGCACAGTCTAGATGAAGGGCCAGACTGCTCAACTGGCACAAGTTTGACACCGATATGCAGAATGTTCTTAATTTTGTATAGAGAATTCCAAAATCTGTTACAAATCGCCCCATACTCATTTATACGACCCGGGGGAAGGCCTTCGGCCTCGTTGCTGACTCGGCTTGTGTAGCTTGGCCTAAATAGCTGAGACAATGTGTGTATAGGATTAATAGTAATAGGAAGATACCTCTAGTAAACTAGAGATATGAAGAGGGGGGGGGGGCATTTCGAATGTTTAAATCTCAAAACAAGGTGCATCGCTTCGCTCAGCAATCGGGAGAATTCGTACCTTAAAAAATCAAGATAGAGCTTGTACGAATTATATCACAAATCCATGCAGCACATCTGTAAGCGAGCAAAGGTACGTGACACGAATTACATTTTAACGAACGTGCCGTGCCCTTCATTTAGATTATGAACGTGCAGGAGACGTACAAAATAGTTTTCGCATGGGAGCATTCATTATGTGCAAAATCACGCAACATAAAAAAGAAAAGTTGGCATCGTGTTCGCAAACTCAACTACAGTGTACACAAAACAGGGGAATAAACAAAACCAACATCAATAGACTCACACTTCCAGGTTCTGTAGTATGGAGAAATTGTCAGGCAATCCCACAGCTCTCCCAACAAAGACCTGTCAACAGAAAAGAACAACATTTCAACTAGGCAGTCTGTAACGTATGCACTCGGGAACGGTGCCTCATTATTACTAATACACTGGTAAAACAAAGGCATAAAAATTACGCTCATTGGGGCATTAATACTCTTTTACGCCCTTGCAAGGGCGTAAATCGTATGCCCTTGGAAAGGGCGTACATGGTATAGGAATTTCAAGCAAAATTTTAATGCCCTTCCCAAAGGCATTAACGATTTATGCCCTTTAAGGGCGTAAATCGTTTACGCCCTTAAAAGGCATAATTTTAATGCCTTTGTTTCACCAGTGTAGCCTACACAGATATATTCCTAGAAAGGACGTTATTTGTAGCAACAGAAAACTGAAGCGTCGCAGCCTGTGAAGGCGTTCTTTGTAGGGTTCTTAGTATGTAGGAAGACAGTAATTGTTTGAGTCGAGAAAGATCCCGGCAGTTTGAGGTTTACTCTGAGCCAGAACAAAAAAACACTCTGAAAACCTTACAAACTATATAAGTATGCTCAAAATACTTTGCTCTAACAAACTGCTTTCCAAGGCCTGAAATAGTTTGTAAGGTTTTCTCAGTGCTCTCAGTCTGCTTGTTAACCGATTTACCGATGCAGTGTGTCGGATTGCGGTCTTCCCTTCTCTCGCAAGCGCCTGCCAGCGTCCAGTAGGCAAGCCCGCAACACACTCAAGTTCGACAGCCGGCCTACCCCAAGTTCGCAGGCGCCTCGTGCCAAATGCGTGGCAAAGGGCTGTCTCTGATAATTGTAAATTCTCTCAGATTCCGTGACGCACCCACTCAAGCCTCCCAAGCATTTGCTTTGTAGGTAACTACGAAGAAAGTGAAGGCACTGCAGAATTGCTTCGTTGAATTACAATGCTTTCGTTTTCTTCGTAGAACGAAGCAATGCTTCTGTGCCCATGAAAAGTTGCAAATTAATTTTCAGTGTTTCGAGAAAAATGTGCAATCCTGCAAATGTCATATTATTTATTGTGATGGAATAGACTCAATTTTGATGCCTTTTTTTTGTATATTCTAACTCTTAACTGTGGGATTTAACTAGCCTTAGGGATTATATTGCCATCCGTGACGACTCTGAGGATCAGTATCCTTATCAATGAAAAGTTTCCCCATAAGACGGGGTAACTTGAGACAACTTTAGAGGCCCATGACTCTCATTTTAGATGACCCCAACAAAGTCATGGGTTCCAAACCGATTGCAATCATGTGAAATTAAACATAATTAGGATTCGGCTTGGTGAGAGAAGTTTTGTAGACACACGGTCCGAAAAACGTGAAATATTGACTCAACCCCGGTTAATGGTACGCAACATTTTGTCGCATCCGGTTCAACGCGCACGGTAAAAACGGTTCCTGGTTTTCCCAGGAACCTTCTGGAAATCGCCTATGCCTTCACCATTGGCTTCCTGGGAAAACCAGGTTCCGTTTTTACCGTGTGATGTTACGTTCCGGGAATGCGATTGCTTATGCATGATGAGGCATTGAACGAAACGAGCGACACAAAAGCATTGCAACGGTCAGTTGGTGGTGCGAACAGCACTCTGAATGTCTTGCAATGAAATCTGACCTGTGTTATTCGTATGTAACAGTGAATTCGGCGCAAGCGCATGATGCGAAAGCAGTACTTCCTCAAATTACGAATCTTCAAAGCTTTCTCATTGTAAGAAATAAAGAAAAACCTTCGTAATACGAAAAAAACACCTTCGTATTCTGCCATTTCCCTCGTATTCTGGGCAACTTCTTCGTAAGACATAGAGTGAGCCTCAAACGCATTGCAACAATTGACGCTGTTTTCACGGCGTATTTTTGGCGAGCGATAGCGAGCCCTTGCCGTGTTTGGGCGCTCCAAAAAGTGACTGGTCGTGCGTCTGTCTGTCTGTCTGTCTGTAGCGTACACGCTCACGTTTCTCAGCAACTACAACACTAATAGTTACCAAATTTTGCACCGAACATCCCCTAAAGGTCCCACAGGGGGAGTTTATCTTATATTCACGATTACTACCGTTTGAAATATTCAAAACATCTTTTTGAATTAGGTTCTTAGCGTGGTTAGGTTGGCAGCATATATAGCAACTTTTCATACTTGCGGCCGCGGCTCTCAAATACGGGACTGGCAAAACATTGGCAAATAAAACAAAATAGAGAGGAGAAGGGCTTAGAAGTGAGTTCGGTCTTAGTTTTTCGATATTCTAGAATGATTGAAACCCCTCCGGAGTGTCAACACAGTGAAATACGGAAAATGAAAGTGACAATTATTACGCGTTTCGTCCGTCCGTCCGTCCGCCCCCTCCCCTCCCCCGCCACAGGGGAAATGTTTTAGTCAGTGGAGTGTGTTTGATCGTTTGATAATTGCAAGAATGATTTGGTCTTTTTAAGTTTTGAGAGTGTATTTCCATTTTTATTCTCAGACATTATACTTTTTAGTTGTTTGCTAAAATAGATCAATGCAATCTAAAAGTACAAACCAGACACTAATCTTGCCAAAATAAATAGTCTTTGCTGACTCTTGGCACTGACTCTGGGGAAAGGCTTCATTGCAATGCTGTAAGTTTACTATAGTACTAACCTTAAAGATAACTATATGGTGAGTGAGAGTAGCGCATACATGGTTTGACTTTGACATCTGATTCAATGAGACGATTCAGTGACTTGGTCATATGATTTCATGAGACGATTCTTTTAAATTCATCATACATTGTCTGCGACAACTGGTAATTTGTGTCAGTCATGGTTTGAGTTGGCTGTCTTTTTAATTTATTCAGAACGAGGGGGAAACAACTTGAAATAAGGTGTACATTTTTTCGGAAATAAGTTTAAATAAATTTGAAATAAGTGAAATAAGTTGAAATAAGTTTGAAATAAGTGAAATAAGTTGAAATAAGTGAAAAAACCCTTGAAATAAGTTGAAATAATTGAAATAAGTTGAAATAAGTTTGAAATAAGTGAAATAAGTGTGAAATAATTTTGAAATAAGTGTGAAATATTCGGAAACCCCCGTTATTTCGACTGCCCCGAGCACCAGGAGCGCGTTGGGAGGGGGGGGGGGGGGGTCGAACGGTGGCATACGGAACCGTGAACAGCAATGGGAACGTGGATGTGAATGTGTCAAGAAGCGAGGGTGGGGGCACGTGTGGATGGTGGGTGACGTGTGACGTTATATGACTTAACCACAACCTCTCACTGGGCTAGAGAATTTTTAGCAGATGATACCTGCACACTTGAAACATACTTAAAACTACTATACACATGAAGGTGTCAGTCTGCTTTTACTCTTTAGTCCAGAAACCAAGCGCGTATCCTATCAATATAATAGGGGCTGGCTGCCGGGGCGGGATGTGGCAGTGTGGCGCAGCCTGCGCGGAATTCGACACTACCTCCCCGGTACAGCGCCAGCGGCACCGGGCGTAAACAATGGCACCCCCTCCTCGCGCGCGACGGCCTGCGCGCAACATTGACAATCCCTCCCCGCCTGCCACGGCGCGGAATATCGCGCAACAATGCCTCCCGATTCGGCCCGGCCTAGGGCGCTCGGGCTCGGCGGCGAGCGGTGCAGGCCACGGCTCGGCACGGCTACTACCAAACAGAGTTTTGCAGTGGGTGGGTCGGCTCGACCCGCCGCCTGGGCTGTGCGAGAGAGAGCGACTATGCACGGGTCTTGGCAAAGCGGCAGCGATCAGCGATGTGGCCATCCCCCCCAGCCAAATGTTGTCAAAATGTTCCGGGACGGTCCCCGTCACCGGCCGGCAGTGTCGCTGACGGCCCGGCGAGCGGCGTTGAGGTGCGCGCTTGCCAGGGATCCTTAACTTACCTCATAAGGGCATCATAACGTTATCATAAGAGTTAAAGTTATTACCCTTAACTTCTAACATCTTTTCAAAAGGGTAAGTTATTTTTTTATGTCTCGAATTTGTGTGGATATACTTTTGCAAGTACTTTCGTAAGTCCGTACCCTTAACCTATAGCGAACATTGTCTTATGTTACGTTATGACAGCAGTGTTAGTTAAATGTTGAGTTAAGTTAAGGATCCCTGGCGCTTGCCTGGGCGAAGCGAGCACATCATGCGTCTCTCTCGCTCTCAAGGCGGACCTATGGGAGAGACAAGGACGGCTGCGGCCGAGCATAAGTAATTTCGTTTCACAGAAAGATGCTATTAATTCTCTCTGGCGTGAATTGGATTCTTTGTTGTCTAATTTTGCAGGTCTGTTAAACAAAGCGTCCTGTAGTCCAATTTTAAAAGAGCAGATACGACTGAGTTCGAAGTATGTCGCTACACAGTATAATTCATCGTAGATTTTGTGTGAATATATTTCCACAACGGTTACTAACCAAGTCGCACTGCTGGAATTCCGCTTTCGTCCTGGATCAAAGTTCAACAGGTTAATTGGGTCCGATTAGCAAGTTTTAATTTGACCCTAGGCGACCCTAGGCTCAACCAACGCAAGGTTAAAATTGAGTAAAAGCACATAACAGCTTGAGTTAAAGTATAAGTATGGTTTAAATAAGTGTGAAATCGGCTGAATTATGTTACAATTAGTGTGGAATGAGAGGAAATCTATGAAATAAGTTGAAATAAGTGTGAAATAAGTTGAAATAAGTGTGAAATAAGTGTGAAATAGTTTGAAATAAGTTTGAAATATGTGAAATAAGTTGAAATAAGTGAAATAAGTTGAAATAGGTTTGAAATAAGTGAAATAAGTTTGAAATAAGTGAAATAACTTGAAATAAGTGAAATAACTTGAAATAAGTTTGAAATAAGTGAAATAATTTGAATTTGAAATAACGGTGTACAAAATTTTCCCAAGTTGTTTCCCCCTCGATTCAGAATGTTAGGTAAATACTTATGCTATACTGTTTTAAAGATTAAATATCACATCATGACTATCTTTATGAATAAGATTAACTTGCGTTTAGCAATAAGTGGGCTCGACATTGAATTAAATGGAACGATTCATTGGATCTGACAGAAGGTCTTCTCCGTAAAGTAGTTGCAATCAGCCTGCCTGTAAATGTGTCTCTTTTTAATTAATTGAGATAAATCAATGTAGTTTTATCCACTAGTTTAAAATAAAAGGGAGATAAAAGGCTTTTTAGGTATTACTTATAACATTGTGTATTCATAAGTTCAATAACAAGGAGATATCGAATGGTAATTGAAGCATTTGTGAATCGTATTAAGTAAGTCAATGCTGGCTGTTGAATGTTACTCGACTGAGTAACAGTGTCAGGGTTCATGTTACGACACAATGAACAGGAAACACACTTAGAAATTGCGAAAATGACTTCCAATTTCATCCCAGACCATTACTTTTCCCAAAATTTACCAATTTCTGACCAAAATTTTGAAGTCGTGTTCTACATAGTTTCCTGCAGTTTTGGGTGTGCTGATCACGAAAATGACTTCCAATTTCATCCCAGACCTTTACTTTTCCAAATATTTACCAATTTCGGACCAAAATTTTTGAGTCGAGTTATACGTAGTTTCCTGCAGTTTTTGGTGTGCTGATCACGAAAATGACTTCCAATTTCATCTCAGACCTTTACTTTTCCAAATATTTACCAATTTTGGACCAAAATTTTTGAGTCGAGTTTTACATAGTTTCCTGCAGTTTTTGGTGTGCTGATCACGAAAATGACTTCCAATTTCATCTCAGACCTTTACTTTTCCAAATATTTACCAATTTTGGACCAAAATTTTTGAGTCGAGTCTTACATAGTTTCCTGCAGTTTTTGGTGTGCTGATCACGAAAATGACTTCCAATTTCATCCCAGACCTTTACTTTTCCCAAAATTTACCAATTTGTGACCGAAATTTCAAAGTTGAGTTTCCCATTGTTTCCTGCAGTTTTCAGTAAGATAATCACGAGAATGACAAGAATTCCGGCCCTTTCGTGACGGAAGACACTGTATTGGCCTTATTGTGCACATATTCTTCGCCATCTCCTATAAGAATGTGTTCAGACGCATCGCTCGCCTACTACGCGCCCAAACTAAACGGCGCGTACCCCTAGTATTTTCAGTGCAGCGAACTCACCTTCATGTCGACAGGGCACTTCTTGTCGGCGAGGCGGCCCAGACACTTCACGCAGTACGAATGCCCGCAGCGGAGAACCTTGGGGCGGCGCTCTGTCGCGTCGAACGGTTCCAAGCAGATGTTGCACTCCATCTGAAGAAGGAAAAGAAACAGATGCGGAAGTTGACGTGAATAGATTAGTTAACATGACGCCGCGGGCAGCTGTTTTCACTTGGAAGTCAAATACTATTGCAAAACGAGCGTCAACATGCTTCAATGATGCTTCAGTCTCGTATGAACTCTTGGCAAAAAGTTTGTGCATACGTATCTATTGGCATTGGCGATATATTTGTCAATTTCTACATGATCTATTCACAATTTTATCTTAAAAACGATCAAAATTGTGCATAGTTAAGGTTATTGTTAAGTGACAAAAGTAACTATGCAACATTTGTTAAATACTTGTTAGATATCTTAATTTAACGTTATTCTATTGCATAAACTCATTAAGGCCGCACACTCTTAAAACCTTACGAAGTAATTTGAGCATACGTATAACAAACTAAAATACTTTGTTATACGAAGAAATAGTTCGTAAATTACGAAGTATTTTCTTCGTAAGCTTACGTATGCTCAAAATACTTTGTTATACAAACTACTTTTCTTTGTAAGGCCCAAAATAGTTTGTAAGGTTTTCTCAGTGCACCTCATTTTAGTATCTCTGTTATGAATATTTACGTAACTTTTAGTGGTTCCTCTCTAATTCTCCTCACGAGGAAGATAATATCTTCACTCTTAATCTAGGAATGTGACATGACGTTGAAACGCGCAATGAGACAGGTTTTAACCCAAAAGCGACTGCAGGAGCTTATTTCGCCGAGGATTGGATCGGACAGCGCAGATGTGAGGACAAAATTCAGGTGCTCCAAAAAGATTCATAGTAAAATACCGCCGATGTAACGCCCCGATTAGACTTCCACCTCCTACTTAGATCCACCGGTAGCACTAACGTCGGTTGCACAATAAAAACTACTAATGTAAAGGTACTTTGGGGAGGAAGAATTGGGTACTTTCGTAGATCCCTGAGCCGGAAGCACACAGACGCCATGTTGGCGGAAGTAGATCCAAACTTGACATGGGAAAGAGACGTTCGTCAAACGTATCGGCCACACTTGAACATAAACAGTCGTTTGATACTTGTTTGCAGTGCATATGTGTTTCGCGAGCAATATTTGTACAGCTCGGCTATAGTTTTGGATCCGAAGAGAGGTTAGTTTCCGGCCAATTTGGCGTCTGCTGGTCTGCTTGCTTCCGGTTCAGAATTCTACGAAAGTACCCTATAGCTACAACGTAAGTGGAGAAGAGCTGCTATCTCATACTAAATCTTCCTCTTTTCCGTATTTTCTTAACAACGTGCGGAGAATAACTTAACCTTTAGATCTCTTAATAACGTGGTAAGCGTAGCGTTACGCTGGCTGATGTCCCTCCGTCCAAACAACCTACCGTTACGCAGGCCCAGAACTCCCTCCCGCGTAAAGGAATTGACGCTAAGCAGGACTATGAATGAAGAAGAGAACAAAAGTCGGAAACAGAAGCCAAATATCGTTCGTTATGAAATGTTCAAGAGCTCAATAGGCACTTTGAGTTCAGCCCGTACTGAAACGACTCACTAAGAACGTGAGCCGGAAACAGTCACCACATACCACGAGTTTGACTAGTGTTCACTAACTTCCAAATAAACAAAAGCCCAATTGTATGCTTAAATATAATTAAACGCCTGCACCCAAAACCCTGCAGAGAACGCCCTTCGTTCGGCAACAAAGAACGTTATTTGCGGAAATTTACTTGAGAGCGAGAATGTCTCGGAGGGCGATTCCTGGTAGTGTTTCCGGTCTCGTTTCCGGTGCTAGTTCTCGTTTACAACTCTGCCAGAATTGACTACAACATTATGACTTACCCCTGCCAAAGTTTTCAAGACAGACAAAATTAGATTACCGTATTCGGTAGATATATTATTCTTCACACCCCTGTGTTTCGTACGTTGTAACCCTGTTGTAAAGGGTTACGCGACTCTTGAAACGGAAGGAGGAAGAACACAAGTTAAGTAACTGCACAACTTCCGTCCCCTCGCCTGACGAGGGGGTAAAGATGTCTCCCCCTTGAAATCTCCTCCGGAGGCGAGAGGACAGAAGTTGCGCACTTGTGTTCTTCTTCCTTCCGTTTCAAGAGTCGCGGAAAAAATACCCTATTCTGCAAGGACTTACCTCTCTCTCTCTATGGAGCTTGCTGCTGGAGAATTTGTTCTGCCACTCCAAGTCGGTTCGAATGCTCTGCCACGGCCAGAACCGATATTGCGGAGGTGGCGAGGAGGCAGACTTGGGATGAGAGATGTCCAGGGCCTTCCCAATTCCACACGGTCTTGCTTCACTTGCAGCCGGAGTTATCGCTTTCGCTTTGGCCTGTCGACGCGCAGAATGCGATAGTCGGCTCGTCCGCGCGACGCCGCCGGCTGTGCCTCTCCACTGACTGACTGTTGCTGCTGTCGGCGGCTGACTTGCCACTTGTTTGCTGCGACGGGACTAGCTGCGCGGGGTACTCGAGAGGCTTGCTGATCAGCGTTGCTGCCGCGGCGACGGCGGGAGAGAGGAGGGTTCACGAAGGGGCTGGCGACTAGCGAGCGGGGAAGGAAAGGCAAGGAAGGTCAATGTTGTGATCTCTTCCAATCGAATGAAAAGGGAGTCTTAGACGGAAACTAACACGCCCTGGCACTGAATTTCTGTGCCTCAGTTCACGGTCTAGTAAGGGTCTTGTACAGTTTGGGGCGGGGCACTTGTCTTTTTCGTTGAAATTGTATACCCAAATCTGGCACGTACCGATGCGATTCTGCATACACATTTGTACGCAAGATTTCCCGTAACAGTGTGGAGTCACACACAAAATGTACGAATTTCGATTCAGGAAGCGGACGAAGGGGATAATATTTTCAATGAGATTTTACTCTATTAGTGAGCCTTCATTAAAGTCCTTAAGGACTCTAGCCTTAATGTGGTTAGGTTAGGTAGCAACAAACAATTTGACTCAATTCCCAGCAGTGTTGGAGAAAATCCACTTTGTAAAAGATATAACCTTATTGACCCCTTTTACGCTCTCAATCCCAATACAGCGGAAAATGGAAACATCACGGAGCAGCAGCATTCTGCTCCGTGGAAACATCTCAACGAAAGTCACCATTCTCCGTTGGAAATTTTGATGATAGAGGATAACCCGACTTGTGTCTTTATGTATCTATTGTAACAAGAATCAAGGCAACTTAGAGTGGCTGGCTCGGACGGGATAAGGTAAAAAATCAATTGTGGGTCACTTTTTTCTATAATTCCAAAGAAAGCGTTTAAATTTTGACCGACCAAAGTGTCTGTGCGGCCTTTAACTATGGTCATTGGACTAAGTGTTGCAGCCTAGTAGCCCCTTCTATCGTCACTATTTTCGGAGCAGCGGCTGTTTTAAAAACAGTCCATTTTGGCCCACAATTGATTTTTGGAACCAGTTGTGGGTCAGCATTGTAGGAAGCTCAAATTTGGCTACGATTTGCTGAAATACGTGAGGATTTCACTTTTGAATTTATTTTTCAGAATTCTGAAAACTGCAGGATCTATAGCACAATGAATCAATTGTGGGTCATATCAATTGTGGGTCGTTTCGTCTTTATGCTAGTAAATTTACCACTTTTGCGAGATATTACCTTATTTTCATTAATTAAAGGCCCTGGTCCTCAATTAACCAAGCAGGCGCGTTTTCGCTCAAAGGGGAATAATATAGAAAAAGGCCTATTTCGAAGTGAGATAGATGTGAGTTAAACGTCCTGGATTAGAGGTGAACCTTTTATAATGGGGGGGATCCAGAGTGAGCGCCGCCGGTGTGGTAGACAAACCAACACGTACCCTTGCACACCCTGTCGTCGTGAGAGCAACAGTAGATTTTCTCTCCGAATATTTAGTCTTGTGTCATGTCAGGGCCGGACTGGCCTCGGGTGCCTAACCTGCAGTTGAAGAGCGGTCCTCCTTCAGGCGCTATGAGCCCCGCAATGCCCCCCTCCCCTTTCCAAACAAAAATAGCCAAACGGCACACTAGAGGTAAGAGCTAGAGCGTTGTCATTCGGCGTTGTAGCCTTAGCTCAACGTAACCCTTTCTTAGTACTAAATGTGACGGAGAAGAAAAATGGAATTAACTGTGATATGTCAGTCATTCAGAAGCACAGGAAACAAAAAATTTCAGAAAAACTACCATGAAATTCGTCCAAAATAATAGGTTTGACATGGTGGCGAACGCTACTTTGCCATCACCCGCGCACCAAGTCGTCGAACGATTTTGGCGGTACTATGGTAAATTTATGTTCCCTGACCTATTATGAACCTAAATCAACAAGGGCGACCTGTAATAGCTTCACAGTGGATATTTTAAAAGCACTCGGTTTTCCGCCTTGTTGGATAGGCACCATTTTCGTGACTTTTTGAAGGGCCTTTCTTTGAAGCCGGATTGGTGCCGTTACAGTCGTCACTCGGCCACACACGCCATTTGGGGAGACAAAGGAAGGTTGGAGGAAGGTCTACCGTGAAATTCAAATGGAAACAATCTCCAACGAGTCTGCACTGACCCGTCGAAAAAAATGGCCTACAATTGATTCGTGACCCACAATTGATTTTTTACCTAATTGAGTCCAGAAATTAAATGGAAAAGGGACCTAAGTCCAAAAAATACGCCAGTTCCACGTGACATCTCCAAATTCCACTTTGCTTAGGAAATGTAAGTTGAGATGTCTCCGTTTTCTATTTTAACGGAAGGTGATAAGTAACAGAAAACCTCTACGGAGTGACTTGACACTTCTGTTCTATCTCAAAATTTAACTTCTGCTTCTTGAACTTGTTATTATCTGCAACACACTCGTTAAGTTTCAGTTTTCCCTGCTAACGGTTTTTTGTTTCTCCTAAAAAATGGACAAAATGGAGTTATCCCCTTCTTCCGCTTCCTGGATGGATATTTTACCTTGCCGCGAATGCGTCGCGTAGCTCCGCTGAGATTCCAAACGCAATGAGTATAGCACGTGTGGTGCAAGGCAGCTGAGATATCGCACATCGCACCATACATGCAATGCCACAGCCATATTGCACCTTACGTGCTATGCGTCCCGAAAGTGCCCTATGCTAATGCATGGGAATGAATACACTGCAAGAAAAAGTGTAGATAGTACAACAAAAGTACAACAGAAACTGTACAATCAAAGTACAACAGGGATTGTGGAAAGTACAACGACAATTTTACAAACCACAACGAGCCCTGGACTGCTCAGCACTCCTCATGCCGGTTCCATTGTACTTTGTACAACAATTGTTGTACTTAAAAAGTACACTAAATTCCTGATAAAAAATTTGCCAGAAATTTGTGTACTTTTGTTGTGGTTATTTCCTGCAGTGTAGGGAGGCATTATTGTTTGGATTCTTAGTGTAATGGACATCCAATCCCGCACTGCCCGCCGTCCGCATACCACCGCCAGTCCCGCGCTTCGCCGCTAGATGTCGCGACAGCGCGCCACTGAACACCGACAAGGCACTCCACGGCCCGCAGCTTCAACCTTTGGCCTTTGCCATTTCGACCATGAGCACTTCTCGGAGGCATGGGAAACTCTTGGCGGCAAGCGCTGCCCGTCGGTCCCGCGCTTCCCGACGCCGGAAAAGCGGCCCAGAAGGCGTGGCACCCTTCGCTCTCGCTGGCGGTGTCGGCCGCTCGGCGCGCCATATATGCGCACTCGGAGCGCGACTCTGGAGAGGGGTCCGCTGGGTGAGCGTTCCCCACACGGGGAGAAGCCTTTCGAGTGCACTCTTGGTCTGCAACAAGAAGTTCGCCGCGAGCGGTGGGTAGCGCCACCGCGCTTACCGCTCACCCGACCTCGACCTCACTTTTTAGCAGGACACTTCAGAACGTAGGCTGTTTTTCTAGAGGGCCGTTACGCAGTAGCCGTCTTTAAGGTTAGAAAATCAATTGGTCACTTTTGAGAAAGATGCACACAAATTTTGAACAAGTGGCGTTTGGCAGCATATAGCAGCACCGTCTATCGTCCTCGTTTACTGACCTAAGGCCGTCTTAAAAGTAGTGCATTTTGGCCCCAATTGATTTATGGAACCAATTGTGGGTCGGCAGCTTTTAAAGCTACCCGCGCACCAAGCCTCGTACAGTTTTTGTCAAACTTGACTCTCCTGCTCCTTTTAGTTAAGTCATTTTGGACAATTTTGAAGCTTTACACCCTATTTAAGTATGAGAGAAACTAGAGTAAATTTTCAAAATTGTCTGATGATGCATTGACTTTTAGCCATCCTCGACCAGTGATTTCAACATAACATTAATATCTGAGTGTGAGGAGAACACTGTTAAATGGATATCATGGACTGGAGCAGTAAGCCACAAGGGGGTGTACTTTTCTTGTACTTTTCTTCCCTAGCTTACCCCCTGTTCGTGTTGTTTAAACCCCCCTATTCATCGTCGAGTGAAGATCGAGCAATTAATTTCATGGCGCCGGCAACAAACCGTTCCACATCATTTGTTTTATAATTTTCAACAAAGACTTTAAAGTGTTTACGTTTGATGGCTTCACTGGTGAAACAAAGGCATTAAAATTATGCCCTTAAAGGGCGTAAACGATTTACGCCCTTAAAGGGCATAAATCGCCTATGGGAAGGGCATTAAAATTTTGCTTGAAATTCCTGTACCATTTACGCCCTTTCCAAGGGCATAAAACGAATTATGCCCTTGCAGGGGCGTAAAAGAGTATTTATGCCCTAAAGGGCGAAATTTTTATGCCTCTGTTTTACCAGTGTTTGGTTGACACATAGAACAATATTTTTCTACCTTTTCCGGGTCCACCGTTTCAATCCATTTCTCGTTTTTGAGCTTCTATTTGAACTTTGAACAACCGGGCATTTTTCGCACCCTGAAGCTCCGTGGTCCTAATCTACCATCGTACTTTTCAGACATGATCCATGGATCCGTGGGTTCGGCTGCAGGCACCGAAGGGTTAGAAAAACAAACACCACCCTTTGCCGGTCCAAGGTGTCTCACCCTTCGATTTTCAGTGATGAGTTCATGAGTTGCAGTAGCGCATGTTTGGATAAAACTGAATCCAAGTCCCACACTTGTGCGCCTGGGACATTTTGGTACACGCTCAAATGAGAACCACGTATATGCCACTCTTGAAATTGTGGGACACACTCTCAGACTCGCTATTGACTTAAAGTACATGGTATTGACACATTGTCAATAGCACCTCTCATAATTTGAGCAACAATGATGCATGCTTTTCGCGTTTGTAATTATTATTTACTTTTCAATAAATACCTATTTGTTTGTTTTTTTTTTTAAACCCTAAATAATTGGATGCAGTAAATTATGCGTAGGAGATTGCTACGGCAATAGTACCTGGTTGGTTACTGACGATGAATTCGGTAAGAGGCTGTGTGCGCGGATGTCGCACACCCGCAAACGTCCGATAGGGTCTGTCCCTCACTTGCAAGCATGGGACAAACGTCTCTCCTACTTAAGCGTGGACCGAAATGTCCCACGTGCAGAGTGTGGGACGGTCCCGCGCGTGGATTTACAGTGCTATCTAGAATGAAGAGAATGTAAAATAGAGAAACCAAGGACGAAGGATTCGTGCATGCCGAGGTGATAGTCTGAAATGCTCCTAGCTGTTGCTCGTGGCACCCTTTTCCGAAACCATCTAAATGTTTCACTATTAATTATTGTGTAGGTTTCAGCGCAGACGTTGCGTGCAACTTAAACATGCGCTACGCCTAAATTTGTGCGCAACTTGCATGATTTGACGCTCAAAGAATACCCACACACTACAGCGTGAAGAATAGTAAGAAACATGACATTTGACGTTGACATTTGATATGAGATGGTCTCGCTTTCTCCATCATCTTAAGTTCACACATACGCAATATTGCCGACAATTTTCCCACCGCTGTCTTTTAAGAAACAATAACAAAACACTAAAACTTCGTCTGTAATTGTGTGTATATTTATGCTCATAATTCTTCAGCGATATGCCTCGTCAATACAATAAATACTTTAGTAACTCTAGATTGACGTGATAGAGTCTATCCTCGAAAAAATGCCAGGAAGACGAGTGCACAAGTGAGGCTGGAACACCTCCTAAATTTTCCACCAAAAACGAACAAACTTTAAATTGAATTTTC